CGCTTCGCCGGCCCATCACTCGCATCTAAATGACACCTTTCTCATCGGGGTTGAGAAGGTTGGCAAGCGTCAATACCGACAGCAACGTCTTGGAACTTACTTCTCCGCGTCCTATCGAAAGTCAAGTTGGTCTTAAAAGGAACGGACGGCATCGGACGCTCCAAACAGTGCCTCTCGGTGGTGTATCCATTTTTGCCGAGCGGTAATCCGTCAAGATCCAGCGGGCAAGTGCAAGTGGATTGCATGTTGATGGCAAGTGGTGTCGGTTTTCACTGCTTCTCACTCTTGTGAGGAACTCGTTCCCGGGGGCTGGGGTTATGTCAACGATGAACGTGCTGCGGTCGGAGCTAAGCTGCACGCCGGGGCGTGGGACGGAGAATGCGTGATGATGGGTGATTTTTTCGTAGATCTCGCTTTACTTCTTTCCCTTGAGTCGTGTACTTCGTGGTGAAGGTCATGGGCATGTCGCTATTTGATGAGGGATGAGGGAGTAGTCAACTCCAGAAAGCGGGAAGGGCCGGGAGGTCTCGAGCCACACGCCCGGCGTTGGAGAGGACTATTGACGGGGGCCGAAGACGCCGAAGAGGACCCGTTCGTCCCGAGATGATGAGGTATCATCGTTCCGTTCCAAGACCCCTGGCCAGAGAAGATGAGTCCGTAGCAGCATCAAGGGCAGCATGAACCCTAGCGGAATGCTAGTTGACCTGAATATGTAGTTCCCCAGACACTCTGTGCTTGATACGTACCTGACGGGTAAGGTGATTAGATGTCAGGCCCGCTACCGATAACCGCTGAACCTGTGGTGAGAAATGTGGAGAAAATTGTGGAAAGGGAGGCGTCGAGAGAGGTAAGAGAGGAAGGTGGAGAGGAATGTGGAGAAGAAGGTAGGTATTGGGGGAGGTAGAACAAAAGGGGAAGAGAAAGGTTGCGAGAAAGGTGTAAAATAGTGTAAAGAAATGTAGAGAGGAAGGTGGGGATGAAGGTGAAGAGAAAGGTGTGAGGGAAGGTGGTGAGGGAGGTGGGGATGGGGGTAGTGGTGGACTTCTTCGTGAAGGCGAGCGTCTCTGCTACTGCGGTGAGCTGGCATATAAGTAGGGTTGTAGAGAGAGTGGAATTATTGGGCGGTAAGGAAAAGAAAGGAAGGAATCATTACCGAGAGATGGAAGGGAACTCGTACTGCTGGATGGTGACAATGCCTCCGAGGGCTATGTGATGGATTGTGGTGTTATCGGACATGAGTTGGAAGGAGAACAGAGCTGCCTGGTGTTGTGATTGCATTTATATGACGGGTCGGCCAAAATTGAGTCCTCCAATGCACTGTCGGCCAAAATTCAGTCGTGCAAGCACTGTCGGCCAAAATATTTCCTTTGTTCGAAGTGAAATATATTGTTCAGATCCCTATTCGGGGAACTGAGATTCCACCACAGGTTAGCGGCATCTGCGGTGGAATTCCAACCAAGTAGTGACCGCGAGAACAATTTTATATTACCCCGTCTTCCCTCTCTCCCTTCCACTATCAAACACACCTCACCCCCCGGTCCTCCCTCCGGCCTTCCCTCCGCTCTCTGCCTTCCCTCTCCTCTTGCGCTGTCAAACACATCTCTCCCCCTGGCTCTCCCTCCCGCCCTCCCCCCGCTCTCTTCTCTTTCTCTCCCGCCTTCCTCTATATAAACCCCCCTCCCTCCCCCTCCTCTCTCTCTCTATCCGCTATCAAACACACATACTTTTCATGCCTCGCTGCAACTTTAGGTTCAATTTTCTTCTACATCTCACAGAATTTTCGAGACGAGTCAGATCTTTTTAAATACGTTTAATAAGTCTAAAAATATAACCAACAACATTCCCGCCTATGAATACCCTTTCCTCAGACAGTCGGCTACCAGGAATGACTTCTCGGACTTTCCCTTTTCCAACCTCATCCCCCACTCTTCCTCTGTTACAACCTTTTCCTAAGCCACTTGGCTACCTTTTCCGACCTCTCATCCCGCACTCTTCCTCTGTTACACCCTTTTCCTAAGCCAATAGGCTACCTTGAATGATTTCCCAGACTCCTAGAAGGCTTCTCGGTAAGTAATTATTTCCTCCCTGAGTTTCACGTCTTCGAACGAATCATGGCTAACATGGCAATGAGATGTATCACACAGACCAGGTCAGCCCTCACTCAATGCCCGAATGACCCATTGCTACTGGTCTCTTCGATGAGAGTTAACGGTAGATAGGTTACGATCATTCCGAAGCCGAGCTGCCACCTTCCAACGGTAATTATTCCAACCCCTACGTCAAGCTAGAGTCATGGCTAACATCAGAATCGAGTGTATAAGTATCGGGTTAGCTACACCAACCCGAGCACGGCAATGGCTTCTTGCCGGATGACATGTACATTGTTCTGCACGGCAGACATCGCCGCCACCGTCCTTCCCTCCTCATCCGCCGCCTCGTGGAGTTCCGCTCCTCGACCAACGGAGGTTCCTCGGAATTCCATCTTCACGACGACAGCGGCAAGGTACGCGACCTTAACAGGCCTCCGCCTCAACCACAGTTGGCAGACTTCAACTTTTGGTTGAGGTGGAAGGATCCTATGGAATAGTACCTCTCCCCTCCCTTCCTGGATCAAAAAATATGTTAATTTGTCTTTGCAACCAACAGAGGACACGCTTATATCCCAACACCTAGAGGTGGCGCCTCGCCGAATCACAACGGGGCTGGGGTGCTTGCCGGATAACGGCGGCAGCAGCCCCGGTATGCAAAAGTTCAGCTCTGGGGTTCGCCCAGGACTACTTTGGTCATGGAAGATGGCGAGGAAGAGGATAATGGCGATGTCCTGAGAGGTGGAGAATGAAATCGTGACGAGGGAGAGAGTGAGATTGTGATGAGGAGGATGGTGAGAGTGTCTGAGAAGGAGGACGGGGAGAGAGGTTGAGGCGATGGAGAGGAGAACGATGGATTGTTGTGTTGCACCTTGAGCTGTACTGTTGACAGCGGAGGCAACAGCCAAAAGAACCGACAAGGAGGAGAACGATAGATTATTGTGTTTCACGTTGAACTGTACTGTAGGTGGAGTTGCCAGCTGCCTCATTCTAATCATTTCACTTTGGTTGGAACTCTCGCGTGACATGGATTCGCACTCGCTCGCTTGCTCACTACCCATCACTCGACTTGGTACTCTACACCCCAGCCCACATGGCAGTCAAAATAACATCACGATCAACAAACGGCATACCTGGCAAGCTAATATATCCGCTACACCGCACGCTCTCCAAGCATCTACCCAGAGCACCGACGCACACATAGTGTACCTACATTGTGCCGTAGTCTATACATATCCTTCCCAGCAAGCACCTACTGTTTACTCTAGAGGTGTCTACTCTACCGGCATCTACTCTACTCTGTTCGAGCACGATCGATGCTCCGTGCGTACCTGCGTAACAGTGGTGGTGGTGGTGGTACTATCTAGAGGTGGATCTGTGCTTGTCGCTCCAGAGACTAGGGACTCGGTACCGACTTTGGCATGCTCGACGGGCAGGCTGGTGGACTGGTGGGCTGGCGGGCTGGCGGGCTGGCGGGCTGGCGGGCTGGTGGGCTGGTGGGCTGGTGGGCGGAGCGGGGATGGGGGCATCTGCGGATTCCACGCACTCCTGGTGCGGAGGTTACCTACGGTACATATTTGTTCGCAGGAGCGTGATGGAACAGCCGGAGGGATTTCGCTACCTACGGTATTCGCAGCAGACGCCGTGGAATACCGATATGTACCTGTATTATAGGTAACCGCGGCAGGTACTGGGCAGGCGGGCGGGTAAGAGCCCCGCCTCGACTCGTCTCTATGGGATTGGCTGCGACTGGCAGGATTGGCTGTGATGCTTCCTGTTGTTTTGCCCCTAAACTGCTGTACGGCTGGTCTCGTTTCGTCTCGCCCCCCGTGGTCTCGAATGCTCACTCACTCGCTTGCTGGAAGGATGGCGTCGAGACTCGACACTCGAAATTCGAAAGAGAGGTTTCGGCAGCGATTTCGGCGCGCGTATGTAGGATTGAGGATTGAGGATTGAGGAGTGATTTCGTTCGGCAGACGGGTAGGTACTCTCACTTTGGTTTCGACTGGTTCGACTGGCTTTGGCTCTGGCCCTGGCTCTGGCTCGGGATTGGTCGTGGTCAAGTTGTTTACCCTGTGGCGTCGCCGTCGCACGGGGGAGAGCGGATCGATTGGCTGTTCTATTCTGTTCTGTTCGTACTCTACTCTACATGTCATGTTATCTGTCCCATGGACCGCGGTTCCACTCGCTCACTCGCTCGCTGGGAGATCACCTCCCCCCGGATCCTCGTGATATCCCGTTTCGCTGGCTGTCAGGACTTAGGGCCTAGGGCCTAGGATTCAGGAGGGAGACTCGAGAGGCGAGAATCGGGTTCGGTAGTGAATTCGGTAGTGGTTTCGGTAAATAGCGATTTCGGTAAATAGCGATTTCGGTGCGCGTAAATAGGCGTGGTACCGTAGGGTGGGCGGCGAGTCGCCTCTCGCCCTCTGTGGCTTCCAAGTTCCGCTAGCACATGCTTGGTAGCTATTCGTGGCGACGTGGAGACTCGTCACTCGAGGGAGAAAATCACTCCTCCAAGCTCCCATTCATTGTCCAGTCACTCAGTGTTCCCGTGATCCTGCGATCCTGTTCGCTGGTGGGGTAAATTATCGTCTCTTCAACGAGTTCGACGGCGTCCATTCACGATCGACGGTGCCCATTCACGTCGCCCTTCACATTCAGCTCTCGACGCTCGCCGGTTCCCTGTTCCATTCACGATAGGTACAGTTCTCTACACGGTCTCATGCGGGTGCGTATGACCACTCCAGTCTCCATCACTGCTAGCAGTAGAAGTCATTGGTCCCCCGCGCAGATGAGTCAAGCCACCACCCCCCACCCAGTGCTCGATCAGTGCCCACCCACCAAAATTTAGAAAACGCGCAATCCATTAATAACCTCCCGAGTGCAGTGTGCATTGCTGTGCACAGCCTGAAGGGACGACTCTTTCAGACTCCAAAATCCAAAGTTCGCCGTTCAGGACTGCTGCGCACGTATTGGCTGCCCACCTCAGTTTCCCCATTTCCCCAGTCTCCAGTTCCCCGTCCCAGTTCCCTCTCCCCCCTCTCTCCCTGAGTCCCTGTGCCTACAATAGTACTCTCGATCTGCGGATTGTGTACTCTATCATACATACTCTACTCTATGTACTCTACTCTGCGGTATGCAAGTGACCTCCCCACCGCCCAGCCCACCGCCCACAGGACCCGCCCACAGCCCACAGCCTGGCAGCGGGTGGCTTCGCCCCACCGCCCCAGTCCCACACGCCCGCGACTAAAAATATCGGGCATTTCTTTTAAGTTTGAGTTTGAACTTTGGGGCCTAGGTGCTGCAATGGCGACTGCAATGGAAACTGCACTGGAGACTGCAACGGGGACTGCAGTGGGCAGGGCGCTGGGCACAGGGCAGAAGGCGCTGGGCAGAAGGCGCTGGGCAGAAGGCGCTGGGCGACCCCCCAGGCCCAAGGGCCCCCACCGGATTGGACGAGCGTCCGCTGCCGAGCGCTCTCGAAGATCGAGGGACGGGGTGGATGAGGGACGGGGACGGGGACGGGGTCGAGGGACGCGGTCGCACCGAGATACTTGGAGTTGGGGTTGGAGTAACTCTTCCCCCGGGAAGTTGCATGTTCACGCACTCCACCAACGCACTCCACCGGCGCAGTCCACTGAGCACGAAGCAGTCCGCCGGAGTACTGAGCACGGAGGGAAGGGAAGGGAGGGGGAAAAGGGTAGCTGCAGTGTGCAGTGGTGACTCGTGAGGCTGGACGGCCTTGAGCATACCTGGAGTACTGTAGAGTACCTACGCAGCGGAGTCCGAAAGAGTCAAGACATCGTGAAGACATCGTCATCTCCGCTCCGCTCCGAGACAGGCGGCCACAGTAACAACAACAACGACACTCTGGGAGAGGGCGCGGAGATGGGATGATGAGGAGGAGGAGGAAGGAAGGGACGCGGGACTGCGACTCCGCGACTCTGCCACTCTACGAGTCGAATCACCGTTGCAGACGGGCTCACAATCGCGTCGGCCGGTCAGGCGGTAGTTGGATCGCTTGCGAGTATCTCAGTATCTCTATCTAATCTACATACCCAAGTACATACCCAAGTACCTGATCATGTATCTACCGTTGTCGGGTTGTGGGTTGTCCTGGTTGTCGATGGAAAGCAAGAAGCAAGAAGCAGGAGTATGTAGACCAAAGGCTGTGCGACTCCGGAGACGCCGAGGAAGAGCTGGGACGCCGAGGAAGAGCTGGGACGCCAGGTCTAGAACCGAGCATGGACCAGCAGCAACGTAGAGTAGCTACTATGGATACAGCATACAGCATACAGCATACAGCATACAGCATACAGCATAGGTACGGCATAGGTGCGGCATACAGAATAGGTACGGCATACAGACAGTACGGCATACAGACAGTACGGCATACAGACATGTATGTCGCCGTCCATCTATCCAGCTCCAGCAGCCAGCTCCAGGATGCAGATAGAGTAGATACAGAGGTAGGGTAGATGGGTCTATTTATGCTTGCCCATGCGCATTGCAACTTGAAGGTTGTGAGCAGCGATCGAGGATGGGGATGTGGGGGAGGGGACTGGGAAAAGGACTGGCAAAGGGACTGGGAAAGGCATTGTACATACTCTACTATATTGTGTTCAGCTCCTCTCGGGCACTGCGCGCAGGTAACTCTGTCCGATCGCAATGCGCATATGTAGACGATGCTCCGTCAAGGCTTGCTCTGTCGGATACCATACGCGCTGCTGGCCCCTGGGAAGAGACTTCCATGGGGATGTCGGATATGCACCCCCCGAACGAAGGCTACGGTGGGCAATGGGCAATGGGCTTTCGCATCGCTTCATGGGTATCGCCCCCACACGAAACGATTCCGCTGTGCCTGCTTGCCTGCCGTCCACCTTCTATCTCTACATATCCCCGGAGAGCGTATCGTATCAAGCATCCAAGCAAAGCACAGCATCCAGACAAAGCATCCAAGTACCTGGGCAAGTACTCTAGATACTCTATCCAAGCACCCAAGCAAAGCAAAGAACCCAAGCAGAAGAACGCCCAAATACCCAAGCACCAAGCTTTTCATGGTCTCCTAGGCAGTACCCAGTACCCAGTACGATACACCTCATGTATCTATCGCGCAAGTCGATCAACAGATATGTAGACTATCGAACTATTGGGACTCTGCGCAGCAGTTCATCGCAAGTTGCAACGAGATTCAGCGCCAACAATCCTCCCACGCCCTCTCCCTGCATCAACTGCGTACCGTATGTAGCAGCATGATGAACGGTATCGTGCGAAACACCACGGACGCAAGGGGAACATTCCCAGAGTATCGATACCTGTGTAGGAGTGGGGGGTCAGGTTTGGGTTTGGGTTGAGCGGCGGAGGGGTGGACACCAGTGGCCGGGAGCGGTTGGATCGTGATGGGTGATGGGCGGCACCGGGACTCCGGAGACCCCCTTTTTTTCTTCCGTTCTGCATTCTGCCCGTTGGCCGTTGGCGGTTCGGAGTTGCTGTTCCGCCGTGTCTCTGGTATCGTCATTTCGGAAGAAGCAGGCAGACCAGTGAAAGACCAGAGAAGGCCTTGGACGTCTCGTTGGTCGGGACTCTGGTGCGGGGGGATGTTCAGACAAGAGTCCGGTAGGTACCGGAGTACCAGGTTGGTTGGTAGCCTCGTTCCGGTCCCAACCCAAATCCCCTGATCGCGCTCAAATTAGCACCGTAATCGTTAATCGCGCGCAGCAGCAGCAACGGAGACGAGGCGAGACGAGGCAAGGCAGAGGGCCGAGAAGCTCCAAGTTGATGCTACATACGGTATGCCATGATACCATGTACTGCAGCGTACCGTAGCATGTGTGGCCCATCGAAGTTTCCGTCTCCGTGTTGGTCTTCATCTTCCCAGCGCAGATTGGATTGGAGGCTCCCTATTGGGCGGCGGACGTCGAAGGGATGGTCCTTGCTGCCACCGAGTGTGGGAATTGAATTATGACAGAACGGGTTGGTCGGAGAGTGACCTGTCGCATTTATTTTCTCGGGTTGAGGTGGGCGGGCGGGCCAGAAGGCGGTGGCAGCTGTGATTTTCCCGCTTCCTCCACCACATCGCCCACCACCACCACCACCACCTCCCACCTCCACCACCACCCCAACCACATCCACATCCACATCCTCCACCACCACCACCACCACCACCACCACCACCACCACCACCACCACCACCACCACCACTGCCACGCTCGCACTAGGGTAGATGCCTCGCAGGCTTCTTTCGCTCTCCCTCTCGTTTTCGGTGCGCATTACGGTACTCTAGCTACTCGTGGGTCCTCTGGGTACGAATAGTACGCTACATACGGTGCAGATTCCCAACCAAGACACACACACCCCCCGTCCGATTCCCCTCCCCAACCCAAACCCCATCCCAACCCCAACCCTCCCACCACTCCCATCCATACGTTGCCTACTTCCATACCCATTACTACTGTCCAACCCCTGAAGAGGAATAAAGGCTGAGGGGCGGGTTTTATAGACTCTTCGTCTGCCTCCTACCTTACTCCACCTCCTACTGCTACTCTTCTCGCCTATCGAGAGAAAGAAAAAAAAAGGATCCACCCCCCCAATCCTCCGAACGAAGAGAATGTCAAGTCAGCATACCAGCGACGGAAATAGTCAACATCATCGTCTGCGATAGCGTCTGCATAGGAAAAGAAGAAGGAGAAGGAGACCGAGCTTCCGGAAGTAGGCGTGTGTGGAAAGTGAGAGAGCAAGAGAATAACACGGTCTTTGTTTCGCGGATTTCACACGGAGAACACTCGTCAACTACGAAGAGAAAAGAGAGAGAGATACCAACCATATCGGTAGTCGATCGACCTCTGGACGCGACGCATATATATTCGCACCACCCGATCACCGAACTGTACCCGCTCCCCGACCACCCCCCAGACCCACGATCCCTCAGTAGTTCTCTGCAGCTTCGCCGCCCCCCCGCCGTGCCCACACCACCAAACAACCCCCGGCCCGCCCCATCTGCTACCTTAGCATCTCATCACATAAGAGGATAACGCATTAACATAACATAACACTCCATAACATCTCCGCTACTGCCTTCGACCATACCGATCGCTAGCGACAGGTACCGCGCTACAATCGCCAATCCACCCAATCCACCCAATCCACCAGTCCACCAGTCCCCCAACCTACCAATCCACCAATCTACCCCGACTTTGGCTGTGGGTCTGTTATTGGTCGCTGCCGCTACTGCTCCTGCCACCACTCCTTTCGACCGGCTCCAAAGGGATACTCACGCTCTTTGGCATATCCGCCCCACTTCCCACGACATCCCTAGCGGCCGTTGGAAAAAAGTGGAAGGATTCCACCGGAACCCACCACCATCGTCATCTCAGATCATTGTTATCGAACTTGACCCTGCCCCGGAGAGAAAGGGAAAAAAAAGAAAGAAAAAAAGAAAGAAAAAATAGTTTGAACTAGGTGCCTGGTTAGTCGTCCATCATCGTCCTCCTCGCCGTCGGCCAAGCTATATACCAGACATCCTCGAGCCAGGAAGGAAACATTCACTCCCCCCCACCCAATACACCGAATACCCTCCGCCCCAGCCGACGCCGCCTACCACGCAGCCATCATGGCGTCTGACGGTTACAACCTCTCTGAGGCTTCCTCGATGTCTGATCGGAATCTACCCCTGACTAGTCCCACAATCGACGGCTCGGCATCGCACAGCAAGTCGACGGACAATAGCGACGGCGGATCCGGGGATGCAGGCTCAGGTGCGCCTAAAACCTCGAAGGTTTCACGGAAACGAACCAAGACTGGCTGTCTAAGTGCGAAACACATCTCATCTCACACACACATACACACTCTCTCTTCCTTCCTTCTGTTGCGGGTTCGAACGTGAAGACCGAGCATTGAAGACTGACTCTGAGTTTTCTCCGATTAGCCTGCCGAAAGCGACGCATAAAGTGCGGAGAAGAGCGACCAACATGCGGAAACTGCATCAAGTCGAAACGTGTGTGCGAGGGCTACAACCAGAGGGTCGTGTTCAAGGATGGGATGCACGGGTTGTTTCCTCCGCGAGCGATCGGCGCTGCGAACCCGCGCTTCGCGCAGCAATATGTCAACCTGCAGCCCGCTCCACCGGGTCCGCCGCACCTGCAGCGGCCAATCGCGCCTGCCCCGCCGCTTTTCCGCGACGACGGCATCACTCCGCTGGATCAGACGTTGCCTCCACATCTGAGACAGATCTACGAGGAGCGCGCTCAGAACCCGCCGACCTACGATGGTCCGAGGATCAACGTGCGCGTGCCGCTGTCGTCGCCCATCCAGCACGAAAGTGAATACCGGTACCAGGAACCGCTGCCCATATCTCCGGGATATCCGGATCAGCAGTATTCGCCCGAACAATATCAGCATGCTTCGACGTCGGCTGCAGCCGCTTCGTTCGCGATCCAACCCACTCACATCAAATCCGAGCACGACTCGGGATCTCTGTTTGGACCTCATCCGTCGTATTCGCCGACTGTGCCGCACCAGCCTCAACAGCAGCAGCAGCAGCAACGGCCACAGTATGATGAGCGGTCTAGCAGCGGCACACAGGCGGCGTATTCCCCTACACAATCTAGTGCGTCCTCTACCTCCACAAATAACTGTCCTCTCAACATTCCCTTGGACGGGAAATATGCAGAGGCTTCGGGAAGCCGAGGTGCCAGTCATCAATCCAATCACGACTACAGCGATATCTTCAACCAGCGCAGTGATCTTCGTAGGTCTTCCCATCCTTCGGCTGCTGCGCCTTCACATTCTTGATATTTCCTTCTTCATTCCTTGCCCACCTTGTTCCCGTACTTCCACCATTTCGTTTCTCCCCTTGTCGTACGTGCACTCCCAGAAAGACCACATCCCGGTTTGATCGACGTGCGGTTTCACGGCGCCGCATTCGGTAACCGGTGATCGGCATCGAGCTTGGTCTTTTTGGGCATCTCATTTCCCCTCCCCCGCCATTCTTCACAATTTCTTATCATGATTCTTGCCTTTGCGTATTCCCCCATTCCTCTCATTCCGAATGCATCATGATCCATGACCAACTCAAATCATCCGCTATATTCCTCCGGTCGTATTGTTCCGAGCCCAAACTTACGTTGAAGGCCTCCCGTCGTTGAAGCGACGCTGACCGTTTATAGCGGAGTCTGGTGTGGGAGGCGGTGGATCCCACCCGGATTACTTCGAGCTGCCAGAGGGGTACGGGCAGTCGGAGGTCGATCTCGACCAGGAGAGCGAAGATGACATGGACGAAGAAGAAGAGGACGATGGAGAGTACAGGATCGGTGCTCAGGAAGATGGTATGATTATGATGGAGACTACAGGTCCTGGTGGGCAGACGATGGGCACGCGGCAGCAAATATCACAGATCCTCGAGCCGTTCTCCCGGCACCTCGACGAGCACTCGCGCATCTCGTTCCGATCCTTCCTCCCCGAACCCGGGGTACTGGCGACGTACCGCCCCACGCTGTCGTCGAGTCCGCTGATGAACCCCATCACGGCAAAAATATTTTGTCATTTCGTTTATGTCCTCGGACCAAGTATGTCCTTATTCGAACGTTATCCTCCAAATCCGCATATCGCGTTTACACCTGGCGCAGGGTTGCATGGTCCGCAAAACGTGTGGTCGTATACGGTTCCAATCCTCTCGCTCTCGCATCCGCCGCTCCTCCACGCCATCCTCGCGCTCTCGAGCCTGCACATCTCGAAGCTCACGCACGGTCCCAGCGAACCCAGTCTGCTGCACTACCACATCGCACTGCGACGACTCGGAAAAGCCATCGCGAGCGATAGGCATAGAGGACACGTTGCCACTCTGGCTGCGACCTTGATGCTGGCTTACTACGAGACGATGGCGGCAGAACATGACAAGTGGAGCAGCCACATCCACGGCGCAAAACAGCTGCTTAGAGAGATTGATTTCGAAAGGGTAACAAGGCGTGTCGAGCTAATTGACGATGAGGAAGCTAGCGGCGAGGTGCAAGGCGACGCCCAGTATGCAGCTACTCCGGGACGCCCGTCGATGTTGGCGATGCGGAAGATTAGACGACAGATGATCTCCGAGGACGTCGACGAAACCCTGCAGACGTATCTGATGGGTGGTAAGCGAAGACGAGGAACCATCCACAAGTCGAACAAGCGGACGGCGGATAGACCCTTCACGAAGAAGGAGCTCGACAATTTGAAGCTGCAGGCTGACATGTTCTGGTGGTACGCCAAGATGGATTGCTACCAGTCCTTGTTGAGTGGCTGTCCTCTCGTGTGAGTTCTCGTCCGGTGGATAGTGATTTTCTTTTCTTCGGTGTTTGCTGAGACGTGCGAAGGCTCGACTACGTTCACTGGGGTCAATGTCCCCCGCGAGCGAGAATAGGGACTCTGGGAACGACGTATGGATCCTCGGATCACTACTTCCTGTTGCTCGGGCGTCTGTGCGACTTCCAGGTCCGGGATCTGAAGCGAAAGCGGGCCGTGCTGAGGGCCAACGGTGGCACATGGATCCCGCCGCCAGAAATGGGAGGTCCCCCACGCGGACGACACGGGCCACCGCCCAACGTCATGCCGCCACAGTCTCCGTATGGTCCTCCACCGGGCCAGTCCAATCACTTGGACGAAATGCAGTTCGGTATGATCCCAACGCCATCAGGCCAGCCCCGTATGCCGCGGGCATTCCAGCAGGGACTCTCCCCCGAGGAGCAGCAGATTCCCAATCACCACATCCCAGACCCCCTTCCCGAATCCGACGACCTCGACGCGGCCTACGATGAAGCCGAGCTGGAATGGAACGAGATCAGCAAAGCCTTCGAGGTCCTGCAGAACTCGCTCGGACCCGAGTACCAACCTCTCGGCATCGACTACATGACTCCCACCTCCTCCACTCCCTTCGGCCCGGCAATCTACTACCGCACTTACTCCATCGCGTCCCTCCAAATGCTCTACAACATGGCCATGCTGGTCCTCCACCGGTGCCATCCGTCGATGCCGCCGGTGGCGATGATGGCAACCACCATTCAGAGTCGTAAAACGCACACCCACGCCGTGGACATAGCACGCATCGTCGCCGGCCTCGTACCCACCGACTCCTCGACGCAAATCAACCCCGCCCTCGGCGCCTCCCTGATCGAGGCCACGATGCCCATGTTCTTCGCCGCAGTCCAATACGACAACGACGACCAGCGCTCGTGGATCGTCAAGAAGCTGCGGGAGATCAACCGTCTCACGGGCTGGGCCACCGCGTCGCGCATCCTCCTCGGATGCCAGCGCGCATGGGAGAAGGCGGCCGAGCTCAACGTCGGACCCGTGTACAACCGTCCCCCGTTCGAGGAGGAGGAGGATATGTTCTACGAATACCAGCAGTACTACGTCGCGCTGCAGAACGGCGCCAGGGAGGAGGAGGAGCTCGACGCCGGTGAACAGAACGGTGCGGGCGGTGGAAGGTTCCTCTGGAAGGTCGCGGCGAGGAGGACCGTAGATGCGGCGGGTATACTGGGGGATAGGAATGAAGTTACGAGGAGATAAAAGCAGTGGGTGGGGTTCATGACTTACGAGTTGTTTTTTGGCTTTTTGGCTTTTTTTGGTTTTTTTTGTTATTGTTTGCGTTGTTTTGTTTTGTTTTGGTTTTATCTGTATTGAGTTGAGTATTTTTGCGGTGTTTTTGACGCGGTGTTTGATCATCTTTGCTACTTGTTTCAAATTGCAACCTGTAGTAGGACTTGATTTTTTTTCTTTTCTATCATACATATACCCGGGGTTTGGGGGGGCTGGATTGGGGATTGGACTTTCTGGTGGGTTGGGAGGTGATTGGGGCGGGGGCGGGGGAGGGGGAAGGGGAAGGGGAAGGGGGCGGGGATTTAGGGGGGTGTGCGGAATGTAATGGATTCCTTGAAATCACTGCGTACTCGGGGCGAACGGAGGTTGTGGTCAAACTCCTGGTCAAACTGCTAGTCTGGTAATGGAGTAAGTGATGTGGTATGACCGTATGATACGGTTTTTGTGGATACAATCACTTGACGTCGAGACCGGCGTTAAGTAGCGAGTGATAATCGACCATGTAGCCTGCATAAAGTCCTTCCTTTGAATGCCCCCCGGTCAATCGGCGTTGCGGCCTGTGGGACTATTTGGAGGTGGTAGAATATGTAGCAGTAGAGTAGAGTACCTACCGGCACATAGTTAGCAGCGCTGGATTGCCGGCCGAGTGACTGGTGTGCGAACATGAGCTCCGCGAGTCGTCTGTTGACACCTCAATCGGCAGAACACATCGTTCACAGCAATGCATTCGTACTTAAAGTACCAAGTTATCCCCTCACCCTACGAAAACTACGAAGCAAACAAAACGCCAGCTTTTCCCTCTGCCCCTCCACGGTCTCTCCTACTATCTAAGCTTATACACACACGGCTTCATGATCATATCCTCCTTAAGGTCCTCCTCGATGAACTTCGGTTTCTTGGGCATTCTCCTACCCATGGCAGCACGGCCCTCCATCTCCTCATCCTCCTTGCCACCCGCCTCCGGCGGCTGCTTTACAAACTCCATGCGGACGAACATCTTATTCTGTCCGTCGACTGCGCCCTTCAGCGTGAACCCGCGCTTCTTGAGTGCGTCGACAAAGTTCATGTAGACCTTGGGCACGCCGCGTTTCTCGCCGCCCTCCATTTCCGGCTCATCGCCGTCCTCTGCGTCTTCAGTACCCTTTTTGCGGCCGACGGCGTTGGAATTCCCATCTGCAGCAGAGGCCTTGCGGTTGAAGCGCGACTTGATCTCGGCGACCCACAGCTCGCCGCGCCACTTGAGGATGCGGTGGGCCTCGTCGACGAACTGCAGGAAGTTTGTGCCCATGAGCGCGAGGCAGAATATGACGACGTCGACGCTCTCCTTGGGCAGCGGCAGGTTCGCCACGTCCGCTATGGTCACGTCGGGCGTGCTCGCTTGCAGGTCGAACGAGAGGACCTTGATCTTCTCCTTCAGGCCCTTGCCATGGTTGAACGTGGCGGCGATCTTGGCGTCGCCGCAGCCGAGGTCGGCCACCGTGCAGATCCCTGTGTCGCGGTCGCGCGGCAGCGGCTGCACGGCCGTTGAGTTTAGCGCGCGGGAGTAGCCTTTTTGGAACTTGATCTTGGAGCGGTCGCGGAGCGTGTGGATGAACGTGTCGACTGGGTTCGAGGGCCACACGGACACTTGCTGCCGGAAGCCAAGGTGGTACTCCGTGTACATCTCGGGCTGCGTCGCGAAGAGCTCGAGCGACGAGTTCGACGGCGTCGTGTACAATGTCTCGTTGATGTGCCGGAAGCGCGCGGACGTCAGTTTGGCGCGCATCTTTTGCTGCAAAGGCGTGAGTTTCGAGGTGTCGACCGCAGCGGGGAAGGTGGGTGCTGGCTTGCGGACGGGTGCGGCGGCGGCGGCAGTAGCAGCAGGAGTACCGGCGGATAGTGCGTCCAATCCCGCAGAGGCAGCCTTCTTCTCCCGTCTCTTCTCCTTGAGCGTCTTCTTCCTGGGCGGGCCCTGGTCCTCAGCATCATCCTCCTTCTTCTCCACCACCACCACCTTGCTTTCACCCGTCTTCACATCCCCCTTCTCAGCAGCCTTCTTCTTCCCCCCACTACTCCCCCTCTTCCTCTTCTTCCCCCCCTCCTTCCCCTCAGCTTCACCGACAATAACCTTCCTCCACAGCGCCTCTACATTATCCGCAGTGACGACCGTGGTCGTGTCACCGGTACCAGTAGCCTTCTCGATCTCCTTCTTCTCCTTATCGGCCGCCTGCTCGGCCGCCACGCGCGACACCCGCTCGCGCTCCTTGATCTTGGCCGCTACCTCCGGCGTAACGTCAACACTGTTCGACCCCGTCGCAAAATCCTTCTTCGTCTTCCCCCGCTTCGTCTTTTTCTTCGTCGCGGACGAGTCGATCTGCTCCGCGGGGCCGGTGGCCAAAGTCCAGCCGGGGACGGCGAACATTGTGTGTTTGTAGGGGGGGGATTGACGTGGGAGGTGGGGTGCGTGAGGTGAGACGAAACGAGGTGTGGTGTGGTAAGGTGAAAGTTGGGATTTTTTGCGGGTGTCGTCGTGGGTTAGTTAGTGCCGTGTAACCTAACCTTGGTGGGATCCGCAACCCTCGCCCTTAATGTGCTTTGGTTAGCGAAGAGGAGGGACGTCGACCCGAGGGTGCTCCTATGGCGGCTGTCAAGTACATACCGTGACGGCACGCTCGCCGAGGAAATGGATCGGAGAACATCTATTCTAGAAATTACGTGATGTGGGAGTGGCGGATAGGTACATATACGAGTCAGAAGATGGTGGCTATTCCAGTAGGCTGTGGGTGAGAGTGGCAATCACGATGAGAACGAAGCGGGAGTCACGAAATGTCCAGCAACCTTTTGTATTCAGACAGCTCTCTCGCGAGTGAGCGGAAATCGAACACTAAAAGCTAACCAGAAACCTTGTAGAAAGAAACACTCAGAAAGCACACAAACACAGCGTAGAATGCCCGTCCAAATCGGCTCAGAACGACCTCCTGTGTGGTAACCCCCCCTTCGTCTGTCTACCAGATCATCGCAGCGATGACAATGGCACCCGCGAGGACACCGAAGTCGCTCATGCGGACGATGTCGGCGCCAGAGTTCGGGGGAGCGGTGGGACTGGCAGTGCCCGAAGAGCTCCTGGTGGTGCGCCTGGTCGAGGTCGTGGTGGTGTCGGCCGGAACCTCGCTGGTCATGGTGACAGTAGCGATGTCTGATTCGGGGGAGAACATCGGGTCAGCGAACGTGTACGAAAAGGAGGAGTTGGTGATCGTTTGGATGGTGAGCGTGCCCGTACCATCGCTGTGGTTGGTGGTGGTATTACCTGTATTGGACTCAGTCATGACCATGCCCTCGCTGTGGGAGTGCGAGGCCATAAGGCTGGGAGTGACGGTCTCGAAACCGCCGCCCTCGGTGTAGGTCGAGAGATCGGAAGGAGAGACGGTAAGAGTGACCGGCTCGGTCTCCACCTCGGTGACCATCACGGCTTCCGTGTGATCCGTGTGATGCGGCATCTCTGAACCCTGACTGGGGATGAGGGCACCGGAGGTGACGTAGTGAGTGTGGTGGTGGGTGGTCGTAGACATGATCATGGTGACGGTGGTAGTCACCGTGATGGGCTCTCCAGCCTCACCTCCGAATGGCACAACAGAGCCGGACTGGTCGGAGCCACCGTCGGCAGAAACGAGACTGCCCTCCTGGGAGGCAACCTCGAGCTCGGCCGCAAGGGCGCTGGTATCATGAGCATGACGAATTAATAGCGACGGTATGGATGAGTTGACTTACGTCTTGAAGGAACCCGCAAGGGTCAGGAGCAGAACAGGCAAGAGGGCATTGAACTTCATCTTTATGTTGGTTTTGCGATGTTTTGGGGGGTGGTAAAGCGTGAAGTGTTTGGTAGGAAAGGGCGAAGGAAGGTGGTGGTCGATGAAAGTGAGGGTTGAGTAAGGTGAGGGTGGATGAAGGAAGAAGAAGGATAGGGCAGTTGTTGGGTGGGAATTTATGGCAGGTCGAGGCTAATGTCATTTCAAAGCAGTCCTTCGACGTGGAGTGAGGGTAGATGTTTGAAAGAATATGGCAGACCTAGCATACATTGTCATATCACTCGATAACTAACGGGGGGTCGTTAGAAAGTTATCTAAAGTGAAAGTTGGAGGATTAGAGACGTAGGAGGCTCCGCCTACGTCGGTGGCCATGGCTAGTTGAGCCCGCTCATCGCTTAATGCCCCGATAGTGGAGCTGTTGTGGACATATAGTTGGAGAAAGGTGGTGAGATCGTTACCGCACTTCTGGGTGATGCCGTAATAAGGCGGTATTGAAGGTATTATGGCTGCGATGCGTATCTACCTACATCATTGCTGCTGTCTAGAACCGCCCCGTAGGTGCACTAACTAGAGACTCAACACCAGAATATCTGACGTTTGGATGAAGGTCTTCACCAAGGTTCTGGCCTATCACACCCGGTTGCGCTATGCTCATTCTCAGTCAGTCGTTTCTATTGGTGCGTTTCCGTCGTAATAGAATGAACGTCTCGCAACGGCGAGTGGCTGTCAATGGAGTACGGCGTGACTTCCATTCTATGGCTGGTGCTGGGTGTATAACCTCCGCTCTCTGGTCTTCCCACCACTCTCTAGGCTTTCTTTTACACATCAATACCGTAAACCTCCTCAACCACAATCAGCAAACTGCTTCCTTCCAACGCTCGAAAATCTTCACATAAAGCTCCAATTCACACCTTCTACAATGGCCGTCCTTAGCAAGCCCGTTGCACCCCACCGCTCTCGCATAGTTCCCACTATCGGCGACCTCATCGACGGACTCCCCCGCTCGAGCATACGCTGTCTCGATTGCCAATGGCAACACCCAGTCACCGATAACATAAATCGCCTACATCTACTCTTAGACCATCTCTTCAACGCTCACAAAACGGACGAGCGCCCGTTCAGACAGCTCGGCGCCCGCATGGTGTTTAAGTGTCCGTGTGAAGCCGATACGGAGATCCCGCTTGATGCGTCCGGCTGCTCCGGCTGCGGAGAGGTCCTTTGGAATAAGGACGACGCCAAGCGACATGTCTTGGATATTTGGATGGAATGAACGGGGTTGATGGGGGGATGGGGGGATGGGGGGATGGGGGGATGGATGAGGGCTTGGTGGCTTTGCCTGTGTTTCTTCGTGGCGGTCGAGATGGTTCTATAGAGGTAACCTATGCTTAATTCTTGTCAGACCAGTAATCAAATGTTGAACAGTACTGCTTTAGTGTTGATCTTGGGGGTCTCTAGATATCGCGTTAGTTGTATCTCAGACGAGTGACATCCAGTGCACAGCTTGGTGGGATCGCCTGCCTCTGGTACGGCGCCGTCAATGTTATTACTACTTTTGCGAGGGCTTTTCGGCAATTCCTATCCATGCCAGGGGCGGGATCGAAAAAGACCGCACACGGAAGAAAGAGGAGTTTTGAAGGGTGATCATCAATTCGGCAGATGATGAAAGAGAGAAGAAGGAGCAGACGAGAGCAGACGACTCGGGAGCAGACAAGTAAGGATAAACGATCGGATGCAAAATTTCAGGTTTGGCTCGAGGGAAGGGCTGGTCGAAGAGCAATAAGGAGCCGGCATACAGCTCGTGGGCAGAGGTCGGTGACAGCCAGGTGGAAACAGACATGTAATCTGCCATGACCTACCAAGGCCCGAATCCCATGATAATTAAACACAAAAAAAACAGCGGCGGCGGATATCCCCGTGCTGAACCGGGCTCGAACCAAAAACCTCCACCACCCCCGGTGGGTGGCTTGGAAACCCCGATAGATGGACCACTGTCCATGCTAACTCTGCCAGGTACGTGACCGCTAGGCCACATGGGTTTTTTTCCGTGCTGTGAATTTACCACGGGCGGTTATGAACACGTCTGAGCTCTGCCAAGCTCTGACACGGCGAGTCGGCAGCAGTGCTACTACCCACTACATACTCTACCTTCACAAACATTAGCTCGGCCCTCAGAGCTATCGACAACTTCGTAGTACGTGTGAAGCTTTACGACTGCGCTGTAGGCCCGTTAAAGCACAGACCTGGGAGGTGCCGGCGGCGCCGCCGAGTCCAGTAGCCTCAAGCTCTCTGCTTGTCCCTCTATCCGTTTTCCGACCTCCCACTCGGACACCTCGCTGACTGCATCTTCCTCAGCGGCCGATTCCAGTATTCATCTACCAAGATCTGTGGCAGCAAGGAAGTCCAAGATTGCCTGACTGCACCTAGCCCTCTCGTCTGCAAATAGGTCTCGGGTCTTGAAGCGCTCCTTGCCCCTCTCCGCCTCCTCCAGAGCCTTTGCCCACAGGATCTTCTACTGGCTTTTCCATTCCCGGCAGGACTTGAGAAGGTGCTGCAAAAGTTTCGAGCCATGTATACGGAGTATGGAGCACGGAACAGCGAGTGATTATCGATGATAACCTGTGGACGTATAGTACTTCGCGCATGTATTTTCGGATTCCCTTTGCGCTGTGTGCCGCACTGCCCCTCGCCTGCCTGCCTCACTCTGTAGTGTGCCAAGAAGCACTCATCAGTCAGTGGTGACAACCTCCACTGCGCATACTCCGCAAGCAACATCCGGAAGCCGCCGGACTTGGTGGAGTACCTACATGAGTGAGTGCTAATGATCTGCTTGTGCGTCGGAAAGCCTTCCCTTCGAGAGCGAGGTTGTCCTACTTTGCGTTTGGCTCGACGTGCTATGTAAATGCTGGTCCATTGCTATGCTACAGCAGGAATTATATCAGCTTTGCAAATTACGGCCTCTTTCGTCAATACCTAGCCTCGATACTATCTCTAACGTTTACGACTCTTTCCGAACCTTCAGAGACCAGTACCTAAGTACGTAGGTCAAGGGGATGGAAGTGGAAATATGTAGCATCCAGTCAGCGCTTCGCTCAACGCCCGCAGAATTACCTACGTATTAGAAGCACGGCGGCCGTTCAGAAGGTGAGTGCAGTTCTCGGTCTATGTACCGGGGATAAATTGCAATGTTCCGGGCAGATCTGTGGCATTGCCATGATCTAGATATCTCTTTGTCTCGCAAATACCTGCATGGAAGACTGAAGCTATGCGTGAGCCATAGGTAGTGCTTGAGCAATGAGTACGTAGCAGGCTCTGGACTGTTTACTTAGGTCTACATATAGCTGAGTGACTGTTCGGTTGCCAATTTCCATGTATTCGCCGGACAGAGGGATAGTTAGTACTCTAGGTAGATGGTTTGATCACCCGGTCGAAATCGAAACGCTGATACTAGGTACATAGATGGAGCACGCAGTGCACTACGTACATAAGATGCCGACAAAGAACTGTGTCATGGACTCATGGAATGATCTCCCTGCCCTGTCAGCCCTCCCCTCCCCCTTCTGGAGTATGTAGGTAAATAGTTCCAGCAGCCGCCGTTACCCTTAGAAACTACCAGAGACGATGAGCCATCACCTTCAGGCTTCAAGCACCAGGCAATAAACCGACTTCTTGCAGGGCACAATGCTACAGATCCGAGTCGACTTTTGGGCGGAACACGGGTGGGGAGGGGGACGATACCCGCTCCCCTACATAAGTAGTCGAACAATACCACATCGCTCAACCCTCTTTCATAACCCCCAGCTCCTCCTCCAAAACGCCCACCAGCGTTCTACTGCCACTTCCGGGAAACGCCCTCGCACCCTTCTCCTTACTCAGCAGCGCCTTTTCAACCGCCCTCTCCAGCTCCCCCTGTCCCAACCTCCCCTCAACCAAATAATCCCCCAGCTCCTCCACCAGCTCCCTCTGATGCCCTCCCATGAGCTCCCTATTCTCAACGACCACAAGCGGCCTATCGTATCTCAACGCATCAAGCACACTCCCGGCACCCGCATGCGAAACCACCACATCCGCGTGGCAAACATATTCTCCCGCGAGATCGTCGGCGAAGTCGAATGCGTGGATAGTGACGGGGACGGTCGGGGGCGGGGGTGGGGGTAGCGATCGCGCGGCGCTGAGCAGCGACTGGAACGTTGCCGCGGATAGGTAGGACCCCGCTTGCAGCTGCAGAACGGAGATGCCCTGTGTAGCGAGGAAGCGAAGGAATGACGGCGATAGGCACGCGTGTAATAGCGTCGGGAAGGGCGCGGTCGCGCCGGTTGTCACGAGGAGCGTTTTGCCGGTGCGGGCGGATGTGGGGTGCGGTGGGCTAGTGACGGCGCTGGATGGTGCGGAGGAGGGGGGCGAGCTGCTAGGCAGTGGGATGAACATTTGTGTCCCCGGCGGGTTGTAGAAGCCGGGCGGGGCGAGGGGCATGGTGAATGGTGGCATGGCGTCGGGACGTGCGAGGTGTGAGGTGGGGGAAGACGCGTCAGCGGAGTAACAGCTCTACCCTGCAGATCCACGGGCACGCTAAACTCACTAGCCACACCGATCACAAAAAATCCCTCGGCCCAAAATTATTGTCGTCCCAAAACCTAACGGAGAACTGTCGGAACTACGGAACAAACGGAACCATACAAATTTATTGCTGCAAAGACTCTGTCTCTCCGGATGTATGTACCATGGCGGCTGATGGGCGTGTCGCTAGCCAGCCGGGAACACCAGGCTGCGGGTGGCTGTCAGTGATGTGACTGGGGATTCTAGGTGCTGCAGGTGTTTTGGATCAGTCAGTATCTACCCATTCTAAAAGGCGAAGGCTTGGAAGTTGCTCAGCAAACATCACAGACACAATGGCGCTGCCCATCATTGATGATGGGCAGCAGCTGCGCCAGCAATTGTCCGTCGTCGGTCGTTCGAGGGCCAAAACGCGAGTGATACCGAACGTACTCTACCCACAACCGACGCTGACTACACACCTAGTCAGCTCTCTCCATTATTCCTAGCGTCCCGGGTCACTTTCCTAACATCATAGCAAAATCATGATATCGAGCTCCGCACCAAGAAACGCCGTATCCACTATGCACTAGGCACTTACATATGTCCGGCGCATCATCACTACTCTAGCTACGCTACACTAGAGCATCTCCCGCCCCCATCCGCGGACCATCCGGGAAACTACCGGTGATCACGTCCTACCTATGGGATCACGTCCGCGCGCGGTGTGTGAGGGTGCCATGGGCCATGGCTCGGGCCCTATGTAGTAGATATGGGGTTCGCCGTGCGGGGGTATGTACCTAGATATCCAGAGTTCAGACGGGACACCTGGCCGAAACTCGAAGTTCAAAGTTCGAAGTTCGAGCGAAGTCACAACTTACAACTTACATACAAGTGCTGAGTGCTGCCGCTGGGGAAGCGGCATCGCTAGCTACTCTGTGACGGAGCTTCTGCACAACAGCAGCAGTGCAAAGGAGCGGCCGAAGACTATTGGCCCTAAGTACTATGTAGCATTTTGCTTCCTGTTCTTCCAGCCCTCGCAGCCAACCCTCGCCGCTCGCGTCATGCCGAACTTCGGTCGCGAGGAAGGGGCCGCGCGATGCGCGATGCGCGCTGACGGGCGGTGGCCGGGGGGACACATATCTACCAGGTATAAGGTACATGAGTACATGAGCACCTACGATGCAGTGCAGTGTGCAGTGTGCAGAATTGTGGAATTGTGGATTGTGGATCGGACCGGACGTCGTAAGCCCCGTTCTCGTGGTCCCTTTGGCTACATACCTGGTAGGAGGCAGGTACTTGGTAGTATGAGATAGATATTTTAAAAACGTCCTAACTCCTGGCCTCTAGGTACATGATGTATCCTAGATATCCTATCTTTATGTATCTGCATGTATGTAGGGGACTCGAGGAAGCGTGAAGTTACAAGCAAGTTAGGTACAGATGCACATCTGTAGAAGAATTTTTCTCGCACTTGAATCATACACGAAACCCAAACCCAGCACTCCATAAATAGCCAAAGCCAAAGCCAAAGCCAAAGCCAAAGCGCACCCGCATCTCGCTGCCGGCCCGATCGGCCCTCCCCAACACCGTGCGTCACGATCCGTCTGGATATACCCTCCCTCCCTCCCTCCCTCCCTTCCTCCCTCCCTCACAGTCAAAAAAATTCGTAACATCCCAGCGAGCGAACATGAACCGGGGAATTCAGATCAGTGAAACCAGTGAAATTAGATCAATCATTAGTGAGACCAGTGAGGTCATTCGCGAGACATTCAGTTTCTTAGCGGGCTAGTTAGCGGGCGCGGTGTGGAGGGCAGTGCTAGCGCATTTCTATCGCTGCTAACTAAGCCTGGTATGCAAGCACAGTTGCATGCACAGTTGCATGCGCGCATTTGTTCGGAGGTTTCGCACCAGCACCAGGACTAATGTGGCGAAGCGGTGGCTGTGGTGATGTAAGCAGAGCTGAGGAAAGCAGGCGGCGGACCGGACCGAACCGATCGATGTTAGAATCGATGTCGCCGAATAGTATCGATGTTTGTTTTGTTCTCCGAACGAATGAATCGATGCCGATGGATGTGCACGAATCACACAGGAAGGAAAAACAAGGAGTGTCCCCTGGCCTCTAACCACCGGGGACACAAGAAATATACAGCCCCTAACACCTCTTGTCTACGTAAGCCAGCCAGAAGAAATACAATGTCGCCAGACGCCACGAGTGATACATAGTGAACATGAACACACGCATCTACACACATCTACATCCACAAGCACCACCACCAACCTCCCCTCCTCCTCCCCCTCTCACCTCGCCTCCATACCTACCGCACCGCCATCCCGCACCGCCGTCCCGCACGGATGAAACCACAATCCCAGTTCCGCAGCGGCACACAGTACACTACACTCGTGGCCACCTGCTACTGGACAAAGCTGGCTTCACGGCTTGATGGGCTAGCGAGCCGAGATGAAGCTGGCCAGTGGTTTCTGATGCGTGGAATGTGGTCCGTGCGATAGGTGGTCGAGTGGATGGATGGTCGGTTGAGAGGAATGATCAGGATGGGCGAGCTCGGCTGCGCCCGTCGGTTGCGGTGGTATGCTATGTATGCTACGCACCGGTATCCTATCGGCTCCGGGAGTCTGGGGAGGGTTGTTATTGCGCGAGGGGTGCGCGGGGATGGTGGGGCGGGGATGATGCTGCTTGTTTGTTTGTTTGGACAGGCATGGACCTACCTAGTGTACGGAAGACCGTGGCCTGAGGTTGGCTGGATATAGGTAGAGTAAGTATCAAGGCACTGCCTGGCAATGGGCACGCATGCATGCATCACGGCCGAAAAATCTGCTGTTGGTTGATTGACCATTGATTGGTATCGTGGGATATTCCCTAACTATTCCCGGGTTGCCCGCCCACTCGGTAGGATGTATCCCGTTGTTTTCAGGCAGCATCCACATTCACATCCACAGCCAGCCGGAAACGATCTGCCTGCCTGCCTGCTGGGGTGGGGTGAAATCATAGGTGCATGCCTACCGTATCATACGTTGCAATTTGCTGCACCGTGCCAAAGCAAAGCATCGGATATCCTGTGGGGTGCTCGCGATGACGCCGTGACGTACGTCGCCATAGCGAAACAACTGACCGATCCAACGGCTGGCTGCGATTCGGGCGGGCGCCAAACGGAAGTTGAATCGTTTGCCAGTGCTGCGGGGAAGATAAGAGCTACCTGCCTAGTACCCAACCCAGTGGTCAGACGCTGACCGGCTCGAGTCCAGGTCATCATCCGAGACAAGTGTGGGAACTTGGTCGGGTACTACACTCGACGAGACGTCGGTTGGGGCAACGGCAGAGACCTGGGTCACATCCAAGCTGTAGCAAATCTCCATGGTTGCATCGTCAGCCTCGTGGGTATAGCACGCTTGGGGTTGACGGCCGCTCTCGACAGCACGGTCTTCCGGGCTGCGCTCCTGGTGCTTCTTCCCCCTCGTGCCTCGAGTCGATTGTCCTACTGCTGGCTGGCTGGCACCTGGCAATGGAGGTGGCCATACGTGGTATCCCGTGGATGTAACGTAATGCGAATTCAGGTTCAGCAGGCACAGCTCCGCACAGCTCCGGCCTCGCCAGCGTTCCGACAGCCAGATTGCCAGTCCAGTGGAAGTATGTACACAGCAGCAAAACGGGAAGCCCGGAGGACACGATGGTGCACACTGCCGAAGCAGATTCTCGAGCCCCCACGATTCAACTGTACTGTTGTGATAGATATGTGCTCAACTGTCGTGTTCACGTCTGGAACCTAATGCGGCATATGGCGTTTTGAGGCTTGCACGCCCTGGATGGCACTGGGCAGCACGGATACTTGCATCAGTTGATCATATCCGCTGGCCAGGGGCTGAAATGATTATTCACCGTAGGGCGGATACACAGGTAGGTCATTTCCACTACTGGAGGGTAGGTATCAACACATCCAAATGGCGTCCTATGTCGTCGTCGTCGAAGTGTGCACGGGCCACGTAGCGATGTAGATTGCCATTCCCAGCAGCTCTCCGCGTGTGTCGTACCCGGGGAGTGTCACACCGACATTCGTCCCGCCGCGCAGACCGACCGAAGCGAGACACGGAAAAGAGTGTGGCCAGGAGACGCCGGTTCCCGTGACGGTTCGGATGAATTTGAAATCCCTCGTTTCTGACTACCGTCCTGAGAGGCAGGCACATCAACGTGTAACAGCCTCGAAGAAAGAGGTGAATGCGGCGTGGCTATCGGACCAGTTTGGCAAACGGCTGTGTGTTGTCCATTCCCCGCGTCGTCGTCGTCGTTCGGCCGTTGTGTTGAGGGAAGGTTATTTTTTTGTGACTAGGTAGGCGCATTTGCCACAGAAACGTGTCGGTTTAGTCGAGTTGACGGTGCTTACTTACTCGCCACTGCCATGTGTGCGTCTGGCTCGGTGGAGAAGTCCGACCAAAACTTAAGTTCCTTGTTTTCCGAGAGGGTTCCGGACGAAGGGCGGCTCATGGCCTTCACCGGTGGAGCAGTTGGATAAGGCTATGGATGGCGGCGATACTAGTAGAGTAGGTAAGCCTCGTCTGGGGTGCAGCAGGCCGGGAGAAACACAGCTGTGTTGTCAGCGCATAGGTAGGTGGGGTGTGCTTGGAGGAAGTGCGGGATTGACCCCAGAGAAGCATTCTAGCGCATGCAGGCCGCTCAATGTCAAAAAGATTCCGCCACGGGATGCTCATCTCCTGGCGGGCGAGAATAAGCACAGTCGAGCAAGGATTTCTCCCCAGGGCGGATCAAGATGAACACACGGAGATTTGCGCGTACGATGAGTTGTCAGAGCCAGGCTCCACGTGCTAGATGGATATATCAAATGCGAGCCCCACCCTGTCGCCACGAGGAAAGCGGATGTGTATGTAGAGTGCAAAGGAGCTCGGGATGCCGAAAACGAGGTCATGCGGCGGTAGGGCGGATCCGGATCACGCCGGTAGATACCCCAGGTGATGGGCGGCGATGTATGCGTTGTCTGTAGGATCTTCCATGGTTCCTTCGCCGTAGCTCCCGTATCTGGAAGGGTGTTCTGTCAATGTTTCCAAAGCAGGGTTTTGAGGTGATCCTGAGTTATGAAAAGAAAAAAACAAACGCCGTCGTTCAGCCTTAACGTCCCTAGTGCATGGTCAGGAGCCCGACCCGAATGTAGAGTAGGTCTGTACTTGGGTAGGATATAACTGCAACGCCTAGCTGCAGGTGCAAGCCGGGGAGAATCTCATAGACAGGCCGCTGTCGACTCTTGATCTACGAGTGCCGGTATGTCAGAAGAGGTCCACTTCGATCGTCAGCTACGACGCAGAGTAGAGCAATGGGGCTGTGACTCTGAACTCTGACCTTGCGCATGTGCTGTGACTGCCGTTAGGCATCTGAGTACCGGTATCTAGTAAATTCTGTGGAATGTAGGCGGTGGTGCTCCAATAGAGTGCTTCAGCTACCTAGCCTCGAATCCGACAGGACGGGGATAGATGTCACCCAGCGTCTGGTGGCGAAAACCATCGAATCGCAGCAGTGTTCGATTCCGCAAGCCGTTCGGGTGGGTCATGGTCGAGTACCTAGTACTACTGAGGGTGCACCATGTACCAGTACCACAATCTCGGTGGATTCTGGCGAGGCGGTAGCGCGGTGGTGTCCCCCTCAGTACGAGGTTCGAACCTCGCGACGGATTCAGCACGGCAAACAGAGCACCCCGAGTCGAACATGTTCTCCGCCCTCGACACGATCCGGATATCGTTCGCCTTCAGCTGGACGGATGGATGCGCTGGCAGTAGGATCACCGCCGGAGCCTGCTCTTTCAGCCCAGCGCAATAGTTCCAATCTATTAACCTCACCGCTCCCAGGTGCTCTTACCAACCCACCGACTCACTTGACTCGGCTACTATAGAGTGCCGCACAGGTATGTGTGTAGATATCGCAGGGCTTTCACGATGTTTAGTGCGGAGGCGCAATGCATTGAGGCGGGGCCCATGATGTTCGTCTCGTCATGGGACATATTATTTTTTCCGATGTTCTTCTGGGGGCGTTTGAACATTGAGCGGAGCTTGGCCTCAGACGCAGGTGAGATGCAGCCAATTCAGCTGGGTGGACAGTTCTGCAGGTCACGGAGCGCAGACTCCTCAGACTCTTGTTCTTGCAAGTGAGAGAACGTCATAACCCTTGGCGGGGCTAGTATACCCTACTCACTAACTAAGCTCCAAGGCAGATCCACTCGGCCCCCAAGCAGGGAATTGTCCAGGGATGCCGCCCCCCCTTCCCGTTCGCTTGCTTTGATGCCGACTCTTGTATTTTTATTTTTCTTTCGTGTCGGAAACAGGCGCTGTGCTTGTGTAGGGTCTGACAACTCACCTGTCCCCGTCGTCATTCCATACAGGGCAGGTAGGCCTGCCGGTCCCAAGGGGACATTTCTCCGCTGCGACTACAAGAGGCCCTGAAACATGTAGAGTATGTCGCCCGCGCGGGCCCGACAGAGGCCGGACGTACGGCCGACGTCTGACTCCTGAAGTGTGCGTACATGGCGGGACATGCCTGCGTGCGCGTAAGGTGTCAGTGGTGTATTCACGTAGTGGGAGTGGGGCGGGGGACCAGACATATCCATCCTACCTGACGACAGATTTGACGGCACGTCCAAGGTGCGCGAAATTGTGGGCGGGCGGTGGTTGGGTGGAGGATATTGGAGGGAGGCGGGAGGAGGGCAGTGGTGGGAGTTTGAGTGGTGGTGACAGTTCAAATGGTGGTGGTGGTGGTGGTGGTGGTGGTGGTGGTGGTGGTGGTGGCAGCAGTTTGAGTGGTGATGGAGCTCTGTCACAAGTGTGAAGCACCTGCGGACTGATCTGGACCTCCCAGTAAGTGCGTCCCGCTATCTCCCTCTTCTAGCATGGGGGTGCGTCATGCACTAGGTCTCACTCGCCGTCGCTGCCAATGGGCGCGATCTCTCATCCCCACCAATCCCTTCCCCACCCCCCATTCCCACTAGGCCGCAGCTTGCCTCGCTGCTGCGCTGGAATTCCCACTCAGCCTGAGGGTGTGGCGAATATATAATATAGTTCTTCTCCGCTCTACCCTACTACTACCCATTCAACACAAACATCAACACAGAAGCAGATATACACACCCTCTTATCTCCTCTCCACACCCATCTGCCTATATATCAACAGCTAGCCCCCCCGCCCACAGTAGCATTCGAAGATCACAATATCCAGTCCACCTCGAGATCAACTACGAAAAAAGACACCAGAAAGCAGATCTCCAAATCCGCGTGAACATCATGTCTCCCGCTTACCCCCAAGTCCACAACCCGCGCCACTCGTCTGGCTCGCTTTCCTTGCCTCCACAGGGCCGCCCGTATGCTGGAGGCCTTCCTTCACCGACCGACTCGACTTGCTCCAACTGCTCCTGCGAGGATTCCACTTTGCCTCTGAACACCCCGTTCTCAACCCCACCAACCTCCGCCACCGGCTCGACGGCATCCCGTCGTCGCCGATCTTCCGTCGCCGAGCAGCCCCGCCCCATTCTGAAGGGCGCTCCTCCCGTCGTGGTCCAGAAGATGCGTGGCACCTCTCCCAGCCGCACCGAACGCCACGGCCACAGCTCCTCTTCCCGTGCTCTAGTGGTGCCCGCATCCTCGCACGGCCACCGCCGCTCCCGTTCCGAGACCAGCTACTCGAGCCACACCGGCCGTTACTACGAAGCCTACCAGAAGTCGGTGGCGCAGGACCAGGACGCCGGCCGGGACTTCCCGCGGCGCGGCCGCACCCGCTTCCCCAAGAAGCTCGTCACCCGCGAGGCCGCCGAGGAGAAGAAGTACCCGTACTCGGTCGAGGAGGACGGCGCGATCACCGTCGAGCAGGCGCTGGGACAGCCTGAGATCGAAGCGTTGGTGGCTCTGTCTGAAGAGATCCGACGTGAGTATACAGTATTTCCTCCCCACCTTGGTTCTACCACGCGACACCCGACTAACCGTTTCCTTCGCCACAGGTCGTAGTGTCCCATCGCGAAAAGCAGTATCATTCTACGAGAAGACAATAGTTCACGAAGTTCCCCCGAGCGCGCCCAGCCCACCACCATCTGAAGCCGCGATCTCACCCCCACCCCGCTCTGGCACTCCTTTCAGCCCCGCATTGCTTTCACCCCACAGTTCAAGTTCGAATTCATCCTCTCGTTATTCGCAGCCAGTCATTCTTGTTTCCGGCACAGGACCGAACGGTCGTCGCACCTCCCAATACGTTCCCGTCTCGCCCGCCTACTGTTCAAACTCCCCACCAAAATTCGAGCCCCTGCAGCCGCCGGGCCCCTCAACTCCCAAACCCACATCAAAGAATATGGAACTCCGCCTCGAGCCCGCACCCTCATCACACAGCAACAGCGCGCCACCACCACCGTCATCACACAGCGTACCACCATCACACAGCGCGCCATCATCGAAGACCCCCGAAGAGAAGCTCGCGAGAGCGGAGGAGAAGGCGGTAAAGGCCGCAAAGATTGCAGAGAAGAAGGAGCGTCGCGCGCAGACCACGGGAAGCGCCGTCGATGCCGAGGATGCGTGGAAGGCAAGGATGCGCGCCGAGGAGCTCAAAAAGAAGTTTGTAGAATTGGAGAGGAAGGAGAGGTCCCGGTACGAGAAGAGGGATCCCAAGCGGAGGTCCGATAAGGAGAAGAGGGTCAGGGTCGGCAGGAATCATAAGGGCGAGATCATCATGATCAAAGGTTAGAGAGGTTGTTTATTGGTTTTTGTTTTGTTTTTGTTTGCTCTTTGTTTTGGAGGTTGGCTGTTTGGTTGGAGTATTTCTTTGAGGCCTTTCTTTGGTTTTTTTTCATATACCCACACCATGTGTGTTTAAGCGTACTCTACTGCATATTTACACGGTGTTTTTGATCATTTTTTCTGTGCCTTGTGCCTTCTCTCCTTCTCGTTTCGCATCGTTTTGTTTTACTCTTCACGGAGGCCAGAGTTTTAGCCTGTACCCTATCTACGATAACAAGTACTTTTATGATACCTCATTCTCACCCTCATCGAGCGAAGCATTATCATCCCGCGAACCGCCTCAAGAAGTCCACAGAACAGAATAGAACAGATATCCGAGCGCATGCGGATTTTCCTGCCCGCCCGCCCCCTGCCCCTCCGATAACACTCCAATCACCGATAACACTCGAATCACTGGGGTGTCCAGCGATCGGCCCAATCAGAAATAGGCTCCGGAAACTAGGAAACACACCATACAAGCCCTGCAGCTTTCTTGCAGCCTGCAGTGCATGCAGGATTGAGGATTGAGGCTTCGAGCGCGCAGGCGGGCAGCGCAGATCACTTGTAAGTCGTGGGCCTGTGGCGGCTTACCTATGGTACCAGGTATGTACCAGGTATATAGAGTGTCGATGTGCCTATGACGGATACGCAGATGATGGTGATCGCAACCTAACCCAGCCTAATCCAACCCAATCCCTATCATTCTCGACAGCCTTGAAATTGAGCTTGATTTCATATCGCCCGCTCGCAACGGTTTCGTTCGGTTCGGATGGGACTGCTCTGGATCAGTACCTAGAGTAGGTACATAGACGGCTGGCTGGAAGAAGAAAAAGAGACACCCGCGGCCAATTGATACCGGTATTCGCGAATAATGGGGGGGGGGGGGGGGGGGGGGTGACGCAGGATGTGTTTATGTACCCAACGGCCAACGGCGCCGGCCCGCACCCGCACCCAGACGCAGTACTCTAGCAGCACAAAACATGTTTTTCTTCCTCTTTCTTCCTCTCTTTCCAGATTTCGTTACGGGATTCATCCTTCGCCATGAACTATGGAAGGAAGGAAGAAAAACTGGTTGCTTCCATGATGTGTTGCTCTTCGGGGATCTTTCGGAGATCAACGGCCGAGTACCTAGTAGTAGTGGTAGGTAGGGGCGGGGAGGGGATAGGAGGCAAAACGTGTGCAGTGTGCAGTGTGCATTGCATCACTACACGATACGATGCGGATGGGCCAGGTTTGGGTTGGGTTGGGTTCGGACTGCAACACACAAGATCTAATTCGCCTCTCGGGGGATCGTTGGATTCGGTCACGATGAAGGACTGAGGAGGATGAGGGTGGAAGGGAGGTGGAAGGAAGGTGGCTTCCCTGGTATCCTGTTTCGACTGCTGTTTGAGAGCGCCTTCACGTACCGCTGCGTTACCGGTATGATGGATCATGGTGAAATGATGATGCGGTGATGGGTTTCGGACGTTCATCCAGGCCTAGGGAACCTACCGTACGGCGGACCGGAGGACGTCTTGAGACCGTAGTCGTCAGTGCTATTTCCCCCCCCCCCCCCCCGGCCCCGGATCTATCAGTGTGAACAGCGACCCTGCCACTAAACACTGGGGGAAAGCTAGCGACAACAACCTCGCTCTCGAAGGGGAGGCTAGCAAATCATCAGCACTCACTCACTTACTCCATCAAGTCCAGCGACTTCCCCATGTTGCTTGGTAGTTGAGTATACGGTAAGCGCGCAGCGAAGGTTGTCACCACTGCTGAGTGCTTCCTAGCAAGTTAGCACACTGCGGAATGCGGCAGGCGAAGGACATGCAGCGCAAAGGAAATCCGAAAATCGATGGGCCACACGTCCACTGTCATAGATAATCACTCGCTGCTCCGGATCCGTGTACAGTTTCTTTGAACTGACGTAGTATGCATTTCGCCTTCACGCCCGGTTACGGACCACGTAGACATCTCCCCAGTACGAGTATTACTTCACAGGGAAAAGAGGTGGCACATGACCATCTCGATAGGTAGTTAGCTGTCGCAATAACGACAGATCTACATATCGGTTGCAGGCCCCGACTCCCATCCACCGACTTAGCAGTCCCAAACATTGCCGGATCTGCAGAGATCTGCGTGCAAAATTGTCTGGATTACCAGCCATGTCCTATGAGCCAGCCAATCTGGCTCTTCGTCGGTGGGAATCTTCACGGAGCACGGTTACTGAACCATACCTCGGTGGACGATGGAGCTGGCAAAAGTCTGCTTCACCGGCCAGTACCACAGTGGACAAAGAGCTGCCAGGCGCCCGCTGTGGAAATCCGGGCAGTCTCGAATCAGACGTGTATGTACTCTATTGTATTGAGCAGTCGAGGTAGATTCATGCTTGAGATCACTGATGTAAACCACATAAAAAAACGAACTATCCGCAAAAGCAGAAGTAACATAACGCCGAGCACACTCTGAAGTTCAAAATGCCCTTACAAGTTACTCCTTAGCCGGTTCCAAGGCAGGAGCATAACATACCTATGCTGTTCTGTTTATCGGATTGCCAGCATTGGCAACCTTGATCTACATATGGGCCGTATGAGTTTGAACCTCAGGTTGCATAGTAATTTACAATATAATACTAGTAAGGACAAGCTTCAGCACCTGGATGAAAGTCCACACAGACTGGAGCGGCGGTCCGACTGTACCATCATCGCATATCACTCGTGATGTTGGCTTTCGGCGTTGGATTTTCGGGTTGAAGATTGAAAACGGAGTATGTGTGGACATTGCCATGATCTAGCAACGTCGTATGCAGTCAATGATTAAACCAAAAAATGAGGTATACATTGTCTTCCACCTGGAGGCTATGTACAATATTCTGACCCCATTTCCCGCGCCGACTTCTAGCGTTTAGTACCACTACACATCCACCATCTCCTCATCCTCCTCATCCTCCTCCAAAAATCCCGTAATCCCCTCGGGCAGCGTCCCGCCCTTCTCCAAAACCGCACCAAAATGTCCCCTAGCCTCACGTCTCAGCTCCCTCGCCCTCTCCCTCACGCCTCCGTCCTCCTCAATATCCGCAATCCACAAGCAAACCATTCCGCGTAAACACAGGAGCCCGACCATATCGCTCCACGGCGGTGTAAGCATCAATTCTTCCAAGCGCTCCTTAATCTTCTCAGGACGCGAGACCTCCGCCTCCGCCTCCGCCTCCGCTTCGTCGGGACCCTCGACAGAGCGGAAGCGGCTGCCCTCAATCAACAGCGCGAAAAGCGCAGGATTGAACTCTACCGCGCTCGGGTACGGCGGGAGGCGGGACTCGACGGACGTCGCCGCTTTCGCCTCCGCTCGCGCCTTCTTCGGCGGCAGCTTCCCCCTTCCCCTTCCCTTCCCCTTCCCACCAACCTCCCGCTCCTCAGCAGCAGCGCCCGTCTGCTCCCCGCGCGCCACCACCGCAGGGTGGTGACTATGCAGCCTCGGCCTGTAGGGATAAAACAGGACGAGGCGCTCCATGTACTCTACCGCGACTCTGTGGGCCTCCGCCTTCCCCTCCCGCTTCCCCTCCCCCTCCCACTCCCCCTGCCCCTGCCCTTCCCCCTCCCGCCGTAGCAGCAACTGCAGCCCCACCCCCCAGAGTCTTCGCACATCGACGTCCTTCCCGCGGATGAGGCAGGCGAAGGCACGCTCCGCGCGCGGCCAGCGCTGCCCGAGGAGGCTGCGGTATAGGATCGTTGTTAGCACTGCCAGGTGCTGCTTGCGCAGGTTGCTGTAGGGTACTGCAATCACGGGGTGGGACGGCCGGCTGGGTTTAGCGTCGGCCGCGTGGGGAGGGGAGCCTGCATCTGCTGTGGAAAAGCGGTCGGGTGGGGAGGAGGGCGCGTGGAGTGGCGGGGAGGAGGGCGCATGTGTCGGTGGAGAGGAGGGCGGTGCGAGGCCGTCGGATGAGGAGGAACTGGCGGAGAGGCGCCGGAGAGCGGGTTTTTGCGGGGCGGCGGACGTGTGCGGCTTGATCGGGGTGGCGAAGAAGGAGTGTTGGAAGCTGGGTGGGTTCATCATGTAGTAGTGGTAGTTAGTAGTGGGTGAAGAGTTAATTGACGCGTCGCTCAGTCGGCTCGGGGTAACGCGATCTGGTGCGAAGTGCGGAATACATATGCAATGATTTACATACACGATAAACAAGCGCTCACAAATGAACCAAGCAGACATGAAAACAAAAGTAACAGGTTTAGTATACATCAACGATCAATGCCAGTGCCACAGTGCCATGGTCATCCCTTCGATTCCAGTCCGGTCGCCACTAAAGGTATCTCATCCCAACCGCTCCACCGCCCTCCACCCGCCAGATCTAGAACCCCATCATCCTGTCCGCATGAACGCTCTCAGGCCGCAAATCCGAACGTTTCGGCGAGATAAGCGGGTGTAGTTGTGCGAGCAGCGTGATAGCTATTCCCGTCGTTAGCCTTAGTCGCGCGCAGCATTCATCCCGCAGCAAGCCTTAACATACCCCACATCAAGTAACAAGACACGAACGCGAGGATCAACGAGGACCTCCAGATGCTGTTCGTCGAGTCAGGTGTCAGTCAACCATTCCCCATCCTCCTCCTCTTCTGCATGCGGCCTGGGTGCAACGAACGTTTGAGTCTCGCCCTTGGGAGAGAAGAGGTATGCGAGCACCGAGGCGATAACGACGATAACGAGGCCGACGATGATGCTGTACCTATGTTTTTACGTGGCGCGCGTCAGCGTCGGTTCATTTCAGCGAGAGCTTGAGCTGGAGCATACCCGTTGGCCATGTTGAGAGCTGGATTCTATGCAATCGGGAAGAAAGGAAGCGCGTAGTGCAGTTTATTCGTTCGTACGTGGGTATGTTTGTTCGTTCTGGTGCAGTTCTGGTTAAACCGAGTGAGTGACAGCTTCGACTTGCCTGTTGCTTACCTCCGGAGTCTAGACAGACAGGTGACGTTGTAGCGCGCCCGGTAATCACAACAACAAAGGCATTGTCATCCGCCGAGCCCCGGATGCGGCTCTGCGAGCCTTATTCATCACCATCCATGTCGCGCGGGGCCGGGTAACTCCGCTGACTGCTTTTCACCCCCTAGCCCTAAAAGCCACACACACACAACCCGGATCATGCGCACAATCGGGCTGCTGCAATTCCCGACTTGACGACCGAACGACGACGCCAGTGACTACACGATTAACCGACAACCACAACCCTCCCGAAAAGCTCCCCCAGTTCGGTAGAATCCACACAACGACAAGATGACGAAGCGCACAAAGAAGGTCGGAGGTGTGTATTTCCAGAGCACTCGGGAGAGAGGGGAGGAAGAGGAGAGAATGCTGGACGAAAGAAAGATTGAAGGAGAGAGCATGGATGGAATGCGGAGAAAAATATTGTTGGCTGGGGAATGATGGGATTTTGATTGAGCATGAGCTGACAGTGGTGAATAGTGACCGGTAAATACGGTGTCAGGTAACCTCACCCAACTCTCCCACACTCAATTCCTCCACCGAACATCGAGTCAATCGAATCGACGAACCCCTCCAATCGCCAACCTAGCATCGCCGAGTAAACGACCATGAAACGAACAACAGACCGCTAACACCACCTCCACAGGTACGGTGCCTCGCTCCGTAAGCAGGTCAAGAAGATGGAGATCTCGCAGCACGCCCGCTACACCTGCACTTTCTGCGGAAAGAACTCTGTCAAGCGCAAGGCCGTTGGAATCTGGGAGTGCAAGTCCTGCAAGAAGACCGTTGCTGGAGGAGCCTGGACCGTCTCGTACATCTCCCTCCCTCCCTCCCTCCCTCCCCACCACTCCCGTCAGTACTCCGCTAACACATACGAACAACAGGACTGCTGCCGCCGCCGCCTCGCGATCCACCATCCGTCGTCTCCGCGAGCTCGCCGAGGTGTAAATTTCTTCGTTTTCACTGGAGCTGCTTTTTCTTCGTGGTTGGCGCGTTGGGGAACTACAACTTTTTCGGTAGAATCAATGAATAAAACTCTCCGAGATCGTTGAAACAACAATGGGGTCCTTTTCGGAGTTTTTTTTTCTTTTCTTTTCTCCTGGCAATGGATTGTTTGCTTTACATACTGTCGGCTCTGCTCTGCTCGGATGTTGTTTTACTGCAAAATAAAACGGGATTCGAAGCAGATTGCTACAGAGAGTATCAGGCGGAAATCACCCAGATCGGACGAGCTCTTCCTTTATCGCAGATCTCGAGGCCGGTTCAGTGATGACAAGGCAACTGTCGAGCTTTGCTCTTGCTCTTCACTGCTCTGCCGAGACCAAGACCACACGTGAAACCCCTCACGGAAGACCCGCAAAGCTTCCCAGCACGCCCGAACGTAGATGTGATAAATGGTTTGACATTTGACAACTTACATACTATTCGACCTGCCCCTCTGCGCTCCATCTGCTAGCCATATGAAGCTCTGGAGCAAACACGCTTAAATCATTTTCGTCATCATCATCTAGGTTTATATCCACAGCCTAAAAATCACAGGTCTGAGACTCTGAGGTGAGTACCTATTCCCACACATTCCCGCACACGGTAGTTTCCCCGCAGTAACCCACAGTCATGTATGACACGCAGTAACACGCAGCATGAACACGCAGTAACATGCAGCATGAACACGCAGTAACACGCCCAATCCATTTCCATTTCATATGCGGACATTGCGGAGTCTTCACTGCGTCTACCTACCGCACCTCACCGCACCAATCCATATCCCCCAGACCCCAGTGCCCCCACAGCCAGCCAAAAAAAAAGTATGCATACTTCTCAACAGACCACACGGCAAAAAAAAACAGAAGTGTATAGTATCTATGATCGGAACGCAACCCCCTCATTCCATCCTACCTACCAACCTACCTATCCAAAACCAAAAAAATTCCCGCTCAGACAGCAGAGAGCCGAGACAGCAGCAGCGAATGCATTCACAATCTTCCAAAACCAACCCCATCCAATATGTGACAGAAGATGAAGGAGAAAAAAAAGCCAAAGGGAAAGAACGCCCTGCATAAAAGATCACCACAGCCTTCCCATTGCATTGCGTTGAAATCGTAAACACAACCAACCATCATGTTGAATGGTTGGTTGGTTGGTTGGTCAGTTGAACAATAAGTCAGCCGCCATGTCGACATCGCCATTGGTAGCGTCGAGAGCCGATATCGCCTGCTGTGGAGTGAATCCCAGGCCCACCAGCTGACTGACCACCTCGTCGGCATATCTCGCTCTGGGCGCATTATCACGTATTACCGGTGCGGGCGGCTCCACAATCGCGCCAGATCTCGCGCCAACCTTGCTTCCGCTGGGGCCCTCGACGGTGGGTTCATCGTCTTCGCCCGAGCTGTCCTTGGGGATTTCGCTCTCGCCGAGAAACGCGACCTCTTCGTCTTGGATCACGAGGCAGTTGCGTTTCAGGTCCAGCGTGGCGAGGTGTCGTTTCAGCATGTCGAGGCCGAGGAGGAGCTCAACGTGCTTTCCCTCCATCACCGTGAAGGAACAGGCGAGAAACAGGTTGCCGATCTTGATCTGCGCGCTGTGCACGCGGCCGAGAATCCGTGCTGTGCCCACGCCCCGAGCGATGCCGGCGAAGCGGGAGTCCACCAGCCGCATGATTCCGCACCGTTGCGCACAGTCGGGTGACATGATGGTTGCTTGCGCACCGCTGTCGACGAATGCTTTGACGGCGGTGCCGTTGACTTCGACGGGGATGTAGAGCATCGTAACACGGCCAAAAGCTACGCATATAAAAGTCAGTCTTCTAGATATGTGCAGGAGCATGTGAGGGGACGGAATGACCTTCTGGGTTGTGCTCGAGCGCGGACTGAAGATTCTCCATAACCTGCTCTTGCCGTATGAGTTCCTCGATCTTCTGCTGTGCCTCGATGTTGAACGGGTCTTCGTTGAGCATTTGCTATTACTGTCAGCACAGTTTCGCGAAAAGCGTGAGGCTGACGGGCGAGGGGAAGTTACAATTTCCCGCTGCTTCTCCCTCTCTTTTTCCCTGCGGTCGCGCTCCATCCGACCAAATGCATCTCGAAACGCAGCAGGATCATTCATCGCCTCCACGAGCTCAGGATTCGTCTCCCGCAACTGAGCCTGCAGCTGCGCGTTCGCCAGGAGCTGCAGCCGGATAACTTCTGGATCGTACTCCTGCTGCTGGGGTTGCGACTGCATCTGCATCTGCTGCTGCTGCTGGTGCTGCTGTTGCTGTTGCGGTCGAGCTTGCGCCTGCGGCCGCGGCGCGATGGTGTGAACCACCACCATGTCATCGTCCTTCATATTGTAGGCTTCGAGTGTGCGTGTTGCATCCGAGAGCAAACGGCCATTGTAGTAGATGTGCTGTGACGCTGAAGGCATCTGCGGGAGCTCGGACGAAATGAGAGCCTTCAGATCCTGAATGCAGATGGAGCTTGGGACATCGAGTTGCAGGACCTGTGGATTGCCGCCCGAGATGGAGGAGATTGTGAGACGCCTGCAGAGGTTCCAGCCGGTCAGCAAACACTCAGGACATGAACGCGAGGGGGAGATGAAGCTCGTACATTGCAGCTAGTTGGTTGGGATTGTGATTAAGCGAGGACGAGAGGGAAGGTTAGGTAGTAGCAGGCGGGGATGTCGCTGTGGGGGAAGAAGTTGTGGGGAGTTGGCTGATAATTGTAGTCCTTTGATGATGATGGCGGGGAGGGGGAGGGGAATTTCGTGTGGTTGGGCGGCGGTGGTGGGATTCGAGGGTGATGTGTAAGTACGTGGTGGAGAGTAGTGGGGAGTAGTAGCATGTAGTAGTTACTTTGTAGTATCTAGAGTTAGTGGTGGGTAACAGATGCTTTGCTGATCACTTTGAGCCGACACTGGTTTCAACGGTACGTGCATTCGATCCGGGCTTGGCCTCTAATCCCCGCAGCCCCACCATGCACAAGATTCCCGATACAACTCGAGCTTGGAATACCCAACGCAGACGTGGTAACAGGTCGCGGGACAGGTCGTGGGGACAGGGCCACGCATTGACATTCTGAACACGGCAGTGACACTGGAGTGGGGCTCTGGTCTCGAGCGAATTTGCTCGAACGGAGAAGTCCCAGATGTCCTCCATGCACAACCACGCTCTTTGGGAGCAATCTGCGTGCTGGGACGAATGGGGCGCTCGGGTAGATATCGACCTGCTCCATGAAGCCCGGCGGGAGTGTTACCGGGAAACCCGGCAGTCCGTGGGGTGCGGATTAGTCTCTTCCCCTCTCACTCCGTCTCACTCCATCCATGGTGGGGGAACGATTGCGGCAAGTTGGTGCTGTTCGGTTGGGATTGACGATTGATTGGTGCGCATCCATCGCCCACGCTCAAAGCACATCCAACACGTCTTCACTCCTCATCCTCCTTCTCCCCCTCCTCCTCCTCCGCCGGAATCTGCCATGGCTCCTCCGTCCATCACTTTATCGCGAAGTCTATTAGGCGTCGAGCCTGACGGCGGGCGTCCGCATGGCTTGCTGGCTTCAAGCTCAGCTGTTTCTGGAGGGGTAACAGATTCCGGCCCAAGGGAAAGGGAAGCGGGCGAAACTCAAAGCACGACGACGGTTCGGGGACGATATGTTGTCAAAGAACAGACGACAGGTCAGTTGATTGGACGAGAAACCGAACGTGTGGGGTAAGGCAGAGTCGTGTCCATGATATCCCATAATTCGCCAGGTCCTCGATTAACCCCACCAGTCCACCGCATCATGGGTGCTGACCGACAACTATTAGAAGCAGGTATCACGGGCCAACCGACGACGAAAGCCTATGGAGATCATGATTGGGCTCCACGAGCACGCCGTCTGACGACCTACAGAGCCGCTTGCGATACGTACATCTGCCGATATGCATGGCGGCGGCATGTCTCTGAAGTACGTAGGGACGGCAGGCTGGTATGTACGAGCGATCATGAATATCTGGCCTACATATCGAGGACACCCATTCCCACCAAAACAGAACGCCCACACACACACGCGCACACACATACACAGCTAAAGTTGAGCTGGAAGCAGAGACAATCACCCGGCAACACCGTTGGCCATGGCTTGCCTCACAGACCAAAACTCTTCAAAGTACACATGTTCGCCGTTATGCACTCGAATCGCAGGCGCTCAATACGGCGAGAGATGCGGATAGGTAGATATGCAATCGGACTACCCAGTAGGATGCGTCCTTCGCCAGCAGCCGTTCCATTCACCATGTGGATGTGGAGATAGGCGTAGAGTCGACTCAGTCGAGTAGATAAGTCGCCTCGGGCCTGGCCATATGTACATGGAATGCGAGGATCGTTGCTCGCGTGTCACCAAATGTGCGTGTAACCAACCGGCATGGCGGAACAATTTTTCGGGGCTTGGCAATGAATTGGCACTCGCAAACTCGTCTCCCATCAACAACCCGACTTCGACAGCATCTGATAACGGAATCGCAGGTGGTCGCCATAACTAGTCTAGTGAGGCCGTCTGCGACAATAAATTGATTATCTCTCTCTATTCCGGAATCGCTGCCATAGCTTCTTCCCCCCGCAGTGAAGTGAGTGTGCTTGTTGCGCGCGGGACGCCCCACTTCCCCGCCTCCAATCGATCATGGGGCTGTCCGTGAGGAGATCGGTGCTCAATGGCAAGCTATTCGCCGTTTCTCACAGGCATATCGTACGTCGGATCAATGCCCCGAAAGAACGAGAGACGGATTGAGTCGCAACGTTCAAGCTCTCGATTGCTAACGGTTGACTGACTCCACAGCTATCTACCGAGGAAGCCAAAAGCCAGTCGAGAAGTTACACGGACGGCAAGCGGTCGGGGAACCCAGAGGCTTTGCCGCGGGGTGGGTCAGTTAACAACGTTAGGGACGACAGGGTTGGTTGGCTGAGCCCGTCGTGACATTGAGGCATTGGCTGACACGATCGACAGGCAGAACTGCAAGATTTCTACCTTTCGATCCTCAGTGCAACCGCCAGTCGACGCGATGCGCGATCCTACCTCAAGCGCTTTACCCTGCCGCCGGTGACTCGACTCCCTTACGCCGGACTGGCGCCCAGGACCCCAGAGAAACCCGCCCTCTCTCCCAAAGCCTTCAACAAGCCGGATGAGACACACGTCAATGGCCCCGCCTACAATGCCGTCGCTCTGAAGCCTTCGAGCTCTCCCGGGTTGGGCAATCCGAGGCTCTTTGCTCCCAAGATCACCGACGAAGAGCTCCACATTGCGCTCGTCAAAGTCCGGGATATCGACAGCATTGCGGATGACACTCTTCAAGGCGTGGGTCGCACACTGGAGAGTCTGAAACGGCTAGGCCTCACGGCGGTTGTGGTGCTGGATGAGCCCGATAACGGCAGCGGATGGCGAGCGGAAACGGATGCACGAGCGGACCGCATTGTGTCCGCCATCGAGAAATCACGGGGAAGGGCCCGACGGATTGACGATGCTCTCACCATTTCGGCCGAATCCCTCTCGGTCTCCCTTCCTCAGCTCATTCTGGCCCCATTAAGCCGCGGCGTGATACCGATACTCTCTCCCCGCGCCTTCGATCCGGTCTCTCACAGGCACGTCGCAGTCGATGCCAATGATATCATCAGCACGCTCACCAACCTCTTCTCCTACCGCCCTCCCAGCTCCTCGGAATCTCCCATGGCCCAACCCATCTCCCTGGACCGCCTCATCTTCCTCGACCCGTTGGGCGGCATCCCGGCCCCCGATCGCCCAGCAGGCGCCCACGTCTTCGTCAACATGCAACAAGAATATCCCGAGATCGCCGCCAATCTGGAGGCCGACGGTCACCTGCACCACCTAAAGTCACTACAGACGCTGCGCTCCGCACTAGCCGTTCTCCCCCCCACCACATCAGCCGTGATCACCACACCCGCAGCGGCTGCCGCCGCAGGCGCGAAGCTCCCGGAACCCAACAGTCCCCGCATCAAGAACCCCCTGATCCACAACCTGCTCACCGACAAGCCTATCTTCTCCTCCTCGCTCCCGACCGCGACCTCGCCCTCCACACAAACCACGCTGCTAAAGCACGGCACGCCGCTGCAAGTATTCCCCTCCGGCACGAAACTCACCTCCCCAGACGTGGACCTTCGCAAGCTCGTCGCTCTGATCGAGGACTCATTCGGCAAGACGCTTGACGTGGCACACTACTTGGCGCGCGTGAACTCGCACATCGCGGGGCTCATCATTGCCGGCGACTACGAGGGCGCCGCAATCGTCACCTGGGAGACCCCGCCCGGAAAGCCACACGCCCGCGTCTGCTACCTCGATAAGTTCGCCGTCGCCAAGAGAAGCCAGGGCGTTGGCGGCGTCGCGGATGTGGTCTTCAAGGCTATGGCTGCGGGAGTGCGCCCTGGCGGCCTGTTTGAGGGCGTCGAGGGAATCGTCTGGAGGAGTAGAAGGACGAATGTCGTTAATAAATGGGTATTTCACCCCCCCCCCCCCCCCCCAGCACTGAAGACGGACAATCGCTAAAGATAGATAAATCATACGCAGTACTTCGAGCGCGCAAAAGGAACGTGGAAATTCCCCGGTGCGGGCGATGCCTGGACGATGTTTTGGACTACCGAGGATGTCAAGGTCGGGATGCAAAGGTTTGCGGATTACGCGGATGTGTGTGCGAGTATTCAGCCGAGTCTGAGGGATCGGGGAGGGAAAGGAGGGGAGGGAGGGGAGGGAGGTAGGTAGCGGGTGGTGCGGGTGGGGCGGGCGAGGGGTGTGCGAGGGGTGTGCGAGGGGTGTGGACTGGATGTGCTGTAGGTATATTGAGGAGTTGGGGGTGTCTTGAGGAGTTGGGGTGGAGTGGGCATGAGATGTCACTCGGTTTCGCGATATTGACAATGGTCATACGGATTTCGGGGAATACTTGTGCTGGTGGTAGCCATATACCCTACTATAGCCATATCAACAGTCGGTACCGCCCATCTGTAGAATGTATGCACGCGCCTTCTCGGTCCGGCGGGGCTGCGGGTGCGGATGCGGGTACTTACCGGACCAAAAGGGAGGGAGGGAGGCTGCTGGGAGCTGAATGGTCCATCCCGCACGACGAGGAGGAGGAGAAGTTGTGTGGCGCTGCAGAATTGGATGGGCGGGAGGGGAGGCATCATTCACCCTATCAAATTATTCGCTCCGGAGGGGAGAGGAATCATCCGTAACGTGAATGAGAGCTCGAACATTATTCATGTAAAATCACTCGCTTGCTGCGTAGTTGCGGGGTCAGGTCAACTTTCAACCGTCACTTCGCGCTTGGCCAGTCCCTGATTGGAAAAGTTGGTGGAGTTGGCGGAGTTGGCACAGTTGGCACAGTTGGGAAAGTTGGCGTTGGATGTGGCATGTGAAAAACGATTGACGATTGAGCGGAAAAGACAGTGGCGTTCGAACTTTGGACTTCGGGCAGTGAAGTAGCGTTGCAAGTTTCAATTCCTTCATCGCGATGAGGAACCCCCGCCTTTGGGAGCCTACGCCTACAAGAGAGCACTGATGGCATAGCTTCTATCATACCTACGACAACCTCGATGCCCGGAGAAGTTTTTTCTTCCGTTTCCGTATCAACTCCCACTTCATTGCATTACATTCGGCCGCGAATAGCTGGACTAGACTGGACTGTACTCCTGCGGATGCCCTCCGGCGTCCGCAGAAGTGCCCATAGAACTGGACTTATAGCCTCAGGTGCATCAACATCGCACGCTCCGGTTCTATCTACCTATCAGAAAAACCATATACCTATAGCTCTCGGGCCAAACTTTCTAGATCTTTCTACCTCTACATCTACCCACGGCTGTGGCAACGGAAAGGACCCGACGCTAGCGATAATATCTGTCGGCTTCTATATGTACCATGAGGTATGCTGGTATGTACAAGCCCCAAATCCTTCACCACCTCGTCGTCGTCGGGGAGCGGATGGATACCCATAGTACCTATAGGATGTACCTATATATTTCCCCATGTAGGTAACTTCAGTACTCGCCATGTAATCCAATCCAATCCCATTTATCTTCTGAGGCCACACCAGTCCCGGGCCTAGGTAACTAAGCATGTCCTTTTGTCATTTTGTCCCTTTGTCCCTTTTTATTTTCCAGATTCTTTTGGATTAGTTAGCGAACTTCCATCCCCCCCAACCCCAACCTAACCCCAACCCCTCAGCCAGCCAGCCAGATGTGGGATTCCCACGCGGAAGCGAAGCTTCGGCCGCCAGCATTCCGTTGGTCTGTGGTCTGTGGTCTGTGGTCTGGGCGAGTGGATAGGTACTTGCTTAGGTACTTACCCCGCACCACCGGTGGATACCTTTGTACGGGGGTAGGAGGTAGGTGGGTAGGTTGGTTGGGGGGTGGTGTATGTAGGGTGGTGGTGGTGTAGGGTGGTGTATACAGGGCAAAATATATCACTCTGGAGTCTGGCTTCATGCGTAGTACCTAGGTAAGTACATACCTCTTACATAGCGTATCCATAATCCAGCCAGCCATGGCCCATGGGGCCACGGAGTTTGGATCACCCTACTACGTAGGTACAGAAGCCGAGTGAAGGCGGGGAAAGCAGAGAGAAGGGCGATGATGCAAGAGTACATACCTTACACACCCAAGTCCATCATAGAAGGGTCTTGTCCTCCGGAAGCATCCGCAGTCCACCTCGGTACCTAGCATCTTTCGGGCACGCAGGAGGGCATCTATCCACCGGCCTATCCACCTATCCACCTAGTCAGTCAGTAGAGCCAGGCCGGGCACTCTTGTACCTACCCCATCCGTATGCCCAAAATCCTCACTATCCTCGCCATCCTCCCCTCCTTCCCTCCTCGCCCTTCCCCTCCCCGCCCTTTCCCTCCCCTCTCCCCTCCTCCCTATGTATGACATCTTTGTTTCTTGGTATATAGGCTCATACATACCTGGTAGTTAGTTTCAACCAGCATCGTCATCCTATCGATGTACGGTACCCCTCCACACCCCACCCCGCCCCACCCCACCGCGAAACCCCGCCCGCCTACTTAATTTTCTTCGCAGGGCAAGGATTCCCATGGTACCGGCACCACGCTAGGAGGTCGCAATAAAGTTGCCTTCGGTCTTTTGGTTACTTTACGTATGTACGGCACCACCGTAAAGTGCGTGCGTGCGTGCTTCCGGATTCCGAACAGCCGACTTCCACCGCTGGAGGGATGCTAGTTGTGGCTGGCTGTGGCTGGCGAGGGAGGAGGGGAGAGGGGGTGAGGGTGAGTGATGGTGTGTGATGAGCTAGAGCCTACATACCTACGTAGGAACCTGGGGTGGGTGTCAGCGACGAATCAGCGGGAATTGCGAGAGAGTTTGCGTACCATGATTCGGAGGTGTGCCACGTACGTTGTTTGTACTCTACCTAGGGTAGTGGTAGTATATTCCCCAGCTCCATCGAGACGAATATCGAATCTTTAGGTGTGTACAGTACTGCCAGGATAGCCTCGTCCGCGACTCCGCGATGTCGTCACCCCGCTTCTAGGTACCGGTACTCTAGTAGTCATCGTCAATCAAATTCGAGATACTCATCGGAAGTGGCGAGAATAAATCTCAACACACACCACCGTATCGCAAGGGCGCCCCTTCGCATCTGCGAAGCCCTTGCAGGATCTTTGCTCTTCCTACTATCGCATATCGAAACCGCTCTGCACAATCCGCGCAGACGCGATAGACGCCCTCCCGCTCCCGCTTAGTCAACCATGGCTTCAGAGTCCAGCATTGTTGCTAGACCGCTCCCCCCCTTTTCCGTTTGTCGGTAACTGGAGACGCCGATTCCCAGGACACACTTGAACGCCGTAGGGTGGTCGCCATAGGTAGTCTAGGTAGTAAAGGCCGCATGCGACAATAAATTGATGTTCTCTCTCTCTCTCTCTCTTGAACGCCGTAGACTCCAGAGTGCGTGGGTACATAATCTGAAACCCCAAACCCGAGCGCGCGGCGCGTTCCACATAGAGGTTTCTATTCCGGCGCGGGTATGTATGTAAATCCAGCACCCTACGTAGAGTAGAGTACCGGTATTGATAGTAATCCTCCCCACCCGGCCAGTGGCCACCCCTGGCTGGCCGGCCTTCTTGGGTCTTGACACGGTTCATCGACCCAGAAATCCGGTTCGGTTCTGCGACATGTGATGTGATGTGATGTGATGTATCATAGAGTAGAGTAGAGTAAGTAAACCCTTTCCCGGGTCAATAGGCAAAGAAAGAAAAAAAAGGGGGCGGGCTCCACCATCGACCCAAGAGGTCCCAAAACTTCATTTCTCGGTGTCTGCAAGTCCCATAGGTAGCAGCATGGCATGGGACGGGGGTGTGCGCACTCATACATCCATCCATCCATCCAGTCCAGCACAGCACCCAACAGAAGAAGAAAAAAAAACAGTATCCCGCGAACCCTCAGATCGCTCTCACAAATTTAAATATTGCAAAGGACAGAAAAAGAAAAGAAAAGAGAAGAAAAAAGAAAGGAAAAAGGAATGGTGGACTGGAGTGATACCCACACTACTATACTCCTTGGCGATGCCTGATGGTTGATGTGATGGCTGGCCTCCCACGGCGCCGCGCCCGTATCGTCGGAATGGAGAAGGGGGAGGGAAGGTCCCAACGAGGTGGTGGGTGGTGGGGTATGTCCCGGTGGGTTGGTAGCGTAATTGTCCCCCCTCCCACCTCCCCCCTCCCTCCTGTGTGCTCAGTTCAATAATTCATTCAACCGACCCCACCGAAATGCTTTGTCCTCTTTCCTGATCCACCACTTCTCGTGCAACTCGCAAAGGGTGTGCAAAGATGTGCAAAGGTGTGCAAAGGTGTCATGTCATCTAGATGCATCCGCCGGCCGCCCCAAACAAAGTCCTCACTTTTGCCCTTTGGTTGCGCACAATTGGATTTGTCCCCATGCCCGCAGGGAAAACCCGTTCGTTCCCACGCATCTGAGGCTTGAGCTCGATGGGAAAATCTGCTCACGACACGACTCCGCGCTGCCGTTGAGTGAGAGAGAGAGACGTATCAGATATCATATCCGCACCTGCAGCCAGGCCAGCCAGCTCGACCACCCCAGATGTCTGCTGCCTTGCAGGCCTATGTAGAGTAGAGTAGTTATCGGATCCGAAAGGGGCTTACGTGTGAGAGTGCCGCCCACGTGTAAATCCAGAATCGTGACACCTGCCGGTTCAGACGGACAGACAGACAAGGACGACGGGTCGACGGCTGAGCTGGGTACTTCCACTCTAGAGTATCGTATCTTCAAGAAACGGCATCAAACCGAGCCAGGGTGATCCCCGAAAAAGAAAACCCAGCCGTCATCAAGAAGATATCTCCTCATATGGGCAACGTGACGCCGGCATGCCCCTCCCAGTCACCCGGGATACTCTGATGGTGGGGATCTGGAGTTCCAGTGCAATGGTTGCGGATATGATACTAAGGAAAGCTTGAGAGGAGAGCAGATGCATAGAGTACGGCCTCTACCTTCTCTTCCCAGTATGGTCGTACATATCGTGCTCAACCCATCCCCGCGGATTCACCCTAATCACCTCCATGCTCGGCACCATCATGACATGTGGGAGGGCAACGACATCAAGATCGGCCTTATGATTCGCCGCAATTGAGTTCCCACTGCTGCGGATACTTGATAGGCTGACGGCAGGGACGAGGCTGTAGCAAACGGGACCGGCCGGAGGATGGCTGCACTTTGAAGAAAGTCACGCTCGATGAATGCTCGCATCCGATGCATTTCTCGTCGTTGTAGTAGGTATGTAGCTCATGTCGTAAGCGGTGAGCAGGTAGCCTAAGCGTGAGAGTGTCTCGGGCTCTTTTGAAACGCCTCTCTGGGGACATGACGGAGACTGTCAGGATACACCGAGTACATAGGTAGGTACCGATGATCCAAGTTGTCAATTCTCCCTCGCGGCTGGTTGTTCCGATCGAAAGATGGAGAGCGTGCTCTACGAAGGCCCGTAGAGTAGATTGCTTCGATGTGGGAAGTGGGCGTTGGCGAGAATTCATGCTGCCGAGGCTGATGCGGGGGTTCGTGGTTGCCGTTGCCATTGTTGTCGTGAGGATGGGAACATCAAGGAAGCTTCGAATAACAATCGGTAGTTCCACATTGATTGGCGCTCGTGGCGGTGGTGGTAGGTGGTACATCAAACCTCGAGCTCCCTGTCAACTCCACACCCCCATCTCACAGAATGGTGGTAAAAAAGCAGTCAATAAAAATCAGCCCTCACCATCTTCCGCCCACCTGCAACCCATCACGCCAACTCACCCCGCTCTTTTTTGTTCGCTGAAGTGGGTGTGTTGGAAGGGAATGGAAGGGAGGGGAGGGGAGGTGAGGGGGCAGGGCCAAACCAGGTCCATGGGAAATGTTTCCCACACACCCACACAT